CTGAGTTAGGGGCCAGGTCCCTGGTTGGGGTATGGGAGAGGCAGTTGATTGATGTTTCTTTGGCAAATCGATGTTTCTCTCCCTCTCTCTAAAAATAAATAAAATCTTTTTAAAAAAAGAACTAACATACCTAGTTAACCCCAATGTGCTAAGTGTGCTGTCCTAGGCACTTTACCTGAAGAAACTTATTTAATCTTTTCTTTTTTAAAAATATTTTATTTATTTATTTTTAGAGAGAGGGCAACAAAGGGAGAAAGAGGGAAAGGAACATTGATGTACAGGAGAAACATTGATCGGTTGCCTCCTAACTGCAGAACCAGGCCAGTGACCCAGCCATGTGCCCTGACTGGGAATTGAACCAGCAACCTTTCAGTTGACAGGCTGGCACTCAGTCCCCTGAGCCAAACCAGCCAGGATGATAAATGCTAGTTCTTAACAGATGTGTCCAATGAGGGACTTGGGAGGCCACTTGGTAAAATAGAAAAACTAAGATTCAGAAGATCTGGGTTCTAATCTAGCTTTGCTATTAACAGTGGTGTGACTGTGGTCTCACTTTTATTAGTACAATAAGCATCATATACTTGTTTTGTGTTTTACAGGATACTGTGAGGACTCAGATAATAAAGTAGTTGTGAAGGTACTTTTTGAAAAACATGAAGTTCTATGCAGGTCAGGTGTAATATTTACCTGAAGAACATTATGGTGCCTTGCTTACAATCACTGACTGAGAAAGAGAGAAAGGCACTCACCTTTCTTGAGGGCAGTTTCCTCAATCCTCTCCAAGTAATATATATTGAGCAGAGGTAAGATGCTTTGAAGTATTGGGCCTGGGAGGGCTACAAAAACCAAAACACAAAATTTACTTTTTTTTCTTCTAGGGTTCTAAGCATCTTGTGTCCTATTGGGGAAAAAAATGGAAGAGCAGACTTCTCAATTGACAAATGGAACCCATAGAAGCCAACCTATGTCTAATTCAAACTCCAGTCCACTTATCTTCAGCCACTTAGTTGGCAGCTGGAATTTCTGGGCCATACACACTACAAGGGTGAGATAATTCCACAAAGCAATCTGATATACTCATTTAGCAGCTGGTCAGTTCACTTCTGCCCAAGCATAATGAACCATTCTGTATTTAAAAAGTCCTATTGAGTATGTATGATTAAAAAAAGTCCTTCATAATTTGGCTCTACTAATTTCTCCAACTCCCTGATTTGCCTCCTATACTTCAGCCACACTAAACTACATTTTTCAGTTATCTAATGTGTTACACTATTTTCTGCCTCTGTGAGTGAGATTCACTTTGTTAAGCTGTTTTCTCCACCAGGAATATCCTTACCACTTTCAGGATTCAAGTATCACATGCCCTTTATTAAGCCTTTTCTGAATTTTTTTTCCACTCTTCCAGGTTGGCTACTTCCATCCTTTGGATACCCACTACACCCAAAAGTAGTACTTTCCTATGAAGAATAGAAATAATTAGGCTCTACACTCAAAATTCAATATATCTGAAAAACAAAAACTGCTTGCTGACTTCCGTAGATCATGGCCAGACAGTCTAGTCTCTAGAATTGCACAAAACTGGGTGAAATCCTGATTGTACCACTTAATTAATTGTGCATCCTTGGGCAAATTCACATCTTTGAGCCTAAATTTCCTTAATTTTAAAATGGAGATAATAATAACTATGTCATAACATTATTGTGAAAATTAAAGGAGATCGTGCTTGTAATCTTTTTAAGGCCATGCTTGGCTTTAAGGCTCACTAAATGTTAGTGATTACTGTTCTTAGCCTGTTAACAGCGTCTCTCTGTCCAGCCAAGAATAAGTTCGAGATCTTGGAGTATACCATATCTAAGGAAAACCTTGAAGAACTCCCATTCCAGGATCTCCTTTTATATTTATTTGTGGAATGACTGAATCTTGCTATCTAAGAATCTAGTACAATTCTTTGTACATAGTGTACAAAGTGTTCTTGCTGAATGAAAGCACTAAATGTCTATGCTATTACACTAATGTAGGCTCTCTACTGTATTTAAGATAAAGTCCAACTCCATATACTGGCATTCAAGGTATAACAAACCTATTCTACTTTGCTTCCTCATTGTATCCTTTCCTGCTGCCTCTACTCCCTTTCTCCTCCTCTCCCTACACAAAGCAAAATTAGTCCGCAACCTCCAGGAAGCCCTTTCCTGACTGTTAGGCCACATAGAAACCTTCCTCCAAAACAGCACTACTTAGCGGGCCTCTCACTTGTCTCTTTTAAGAGGCCTAACTTGATTCAGCTTTCCCTGTGTGACTGTTGACCTGGGTGAGGCCCACAGGAGCTTTCTCCTGTCTCTCCAATCTGCTCCCCTCGGTTTAGCCATCCCCTCTCACAGCCACAGGGATTCTCATTCCCTATTAACCACAAACTCCTCTCTTCTTTTTTCTATTCTCCTTAAGCCAGGGTCTTCCTTGCTACTTTCCAGCTTACAGCTTTATCGCGTCCTCATCCCAACTTGGGGCCTCCACACCCAGCCCTCTTTCCTCCTAGCCAGGTTTAGCATCCTAGAGGCTCCAGGCTGACAGGGCCAGGTCCTGTCCACATTCCCCCGGACTTTTCTGAGCTCCCTGCCGAGCTCCACTGAGACTTTTCTCCTGTTCCCCGTGGGTCAGCAGGACCCTTCTCTTCTCAGCTGTTAATTCAGAGGCTCCATAATCCCCTCCCCCCACCAGGCCCGACATATTCTAACAGTTTTTCCGCGGTACATAAAGACACAGGCCTCTTCAGGATTGGTGACCCATCCCCACCACATATCCCTGGGTCTCTTTAACCACTCTCTACAACCTTGGGAATATTCCTGGAGGCCCAAACCCACAAATGCTTGGGCCTTTTCTCCACATCCCTCCTCATTGTGCAACCCAAGCCCCCACCCGCAGGACCTCAAGGCCTCACTCCTGACCTTACCAGGTACTTCCTCCTGGCGAAGACACCAACACCACTCCCGAGGCCTTCTCTGCAACCCTCCGCCCCACCCCCAAGGCCTAGGGCCTCCTTTCTCACCACCCCTCCCAGCTCTTCCCTAGGCCCTGGGCCCGGCCTGTAATATCCCCACCCAACTTCAGCCCTGGCCTCGGGACCCCACCCCCTCACACCACCAGTCTGTCAGGCACTACAGGCCCAAGGCCTCCCTTGTCCCCCATGTAGACGGGCCTATCCCCCAGAGGCCCTTACTTTCCCCTCCTTCACTCTATTAGTTGCCAAGACGCCAACCCGAGTTTTCCTCACCAGCGGCCAGGCTGCGACCGAGGGTACACACCCCACAGCCCGGCCTCCTCGCGCCCATCGGGCTGCAGGCCTACTCTCCTCCGTGACCCGGCCCAGCCCGACCTGCCGAGCTCGCAGGCCCACCAGCAAAGCCGTTCATGTCGTCCTCCCCGGCTCCTCATCCCAGCGCCGCAGGCTGCCCTGCCCGCCTTTGCTGCTCAGCCTGGGCGCTCTCCACCCGAGCCGGGCCCGTGGGTCCCCGCCGCTCTCAGGCCTGGGGCCTCCTTTCGCTCCCACTCCGACCAGGGCCTTCTAGCGGCGGTGCGCCCCCCGCCCCCAGTCCAGGATCCCGGGCCGTGGCCCCGCCCGGGGCCTCCTTGGCCCTTCCCGCCTGTCCGTCATTCGAGCCTCCCGGGATCACAGACCCACTTCGGGCCTCCCTTCTCCCGCGTTCGGGTCCCTCCTCGCCGCTCGGGCCAATACGAGTAGCCTCCGGCGCTCCCTGCCTTGCCCGTCAGTCCGTCGCTCAACCAGCTAGGCACCCGAGGACCCGCTAGTCAGTTCGCTCCTCCTGCCCTGGGCCATCACACAGGCCTCGGCACCGGCACCCGCAGCCTTTACGCCTCTCCCTCCGACCCATCCCTCTCTCCCCAATCCAATGGGCTACATTCTCTCATCGGCTTGGCCTCCGGGGTCTCGGCACTCCGGGGTCTCGGTGTCTGTCAGGCATTTATCAGAGGCCCCGCGCCGTCAGTCAGGTTGGGTGGCCCCGGGCCTGGCCTCTCGCCTTAGGCCGGGCCTCCCAACCTCGGCCCCCGCCCCCAAACACCGGGGCCATCCCTGCCCGTCGGCTCCACATCCGAGCCTTCCCAGCCCGGTCCGGCCCGAGTGTCAGTTCGGTGCCGACGGCTCAGACCGTCAGTCCCGCCCCTGCCGTCCGAGCCCTGCCGGCTTTGCCCCAGCCCGGGCCTCCTGGCCTCGCCCCCCGCGCCCCCGGCCAGGCCGCGGTGCAGGTCCACCTGCCGATTTGGTCCCCGTCTTTACTCTGCCCAACCCGGTTAGTCACGGAATTCATTCTCCGACCAGACTGACTGCCTTCCAGTGCCCCGGGCTGGGCCTTGCCCCGGGCCTCCCGGCCTCGCCCCCCGTGCCCCCCGGCCGCAGGGCCGCCTCCGCTCGTTGCCAGAGGTAGCCCCTCACCCCGCGACTTACCCCACACCCCGCTCTCCAGAACCCCCATATGGGCGCTCACCGCCCGCCCGCACAGCTCGAACAGGGCGGGGGGAGCGCTGGGGCCCGAGGCCGAGCTCTTCGCTGGCGCCGCCTCCCGGGACGTGGCCTCCATGGTCGTTGCTGCCGCTACCTCACAGAACCAGCAACTCCGGGCGCGCCAGGCCTCGGGCGCCGCCATCTTGGGGAGGTGCGCGGGCCCGAGAGTGGCAGCCTCGGACCGCCATATTGAAAAGGTCAGCAGTTAGGACGGTTTCATCAGCGATGTAGGTAAGAATGCGAACTGTGCTAAAGAAACAGTGAATAAATATGCATATTTTCAAAGTCATTTAGAAGGTAATATCTTAAGTAAATCTATATGTCAACATATTTGTGGCTGATGTGACTAAATGGACATTTCTTCATAAATCCACTTCAGGTGCAAAATACCAGATACCCCTATCCCCTCCCTACTGACGGTGGTACATGCCAATCCGAGCGTGTGTTCGCGACCACGACGAGTCTGCCGCACTTCCGGCCATATCGCCGGATATCCGCTGAGTGACCCTTACAAGTCCTTTTTGATTTTGAAGTGGAAAAGGTGTGGATTTTACTGCTGGTATTGGATCTATAAACGTAGCGGGCCATGGGGTTGGAGGATGAGCGAAAGATGCTGACCGGGTCCGGAGATCCCAAGGAGGTAAGACAAGACGATCGATTCGACCCTATGTCAAGGGTCAGGACCTAGTCCGCAAAACACTCCCGGAGCCCCTTTGGCCCTGCTTCGCTCGCCCTAGAGTTTGCTGGGTCGGGAGAGCTGGTTCCCTGGACCCTTCCCCAGAACTCGTCAAGTGACCTTGGGCAAGTAGATGCCTAGTCTTACTTTGGGTCCCGACCTCCCCATTCTATGACTATGGTGCAGGTTTAACGAGAGCGGAAACTATGTGTTGACTGCTTTTGTAAAAATAGTATCTATATTTTTAGTCAGTCATGTGTCCCTGATTTGACAGGTTTGGGGAGCAGGAATCCCTGCCACATCTGTGGAGGTTCCGGAGATCTGGCTTTACACTAGTTTCTGTGAAAAATTGTGTTTTGTTTTTTTTTATCTCTTTTCTTTGTGGGAGCCTGGGGGTGGTATCTTTAGGGACAGTGTAGGAATGTGCAGTATAATTCTGTGATGAAAGAGAGCTCTTTCCTAGAGTAAAAATGCCAATGTAATAATAATTATTGACTGCTTACTACTTCAAGTGTTAATTTATGTGTGCTAATTCGTTTAAGCCACACAATAGTCCTCTGAACTATTAGGGACTATCATTGCCATTTTACAGGTGAGGAAACAAGTGTAGAGAGGTTAAATGTCTTCTCTAAGGACACACAGCTAATAAACCATGGAGCCAGGAACTGACCCAAGCAGCGTGGTTCCAGAGCTAAGACTCAGCCATACTGCTATACAGATCTACAGAAGCCAGCTAGCTTTTGTTTCCAGTCACATTTCCTATCTATTTTCTGTCACTTTGGGGCAGCTATTTTGCGCGTATGGGTTCAGGATAGTTGGAAATTAGTTTATCCTGTAATTTTCCCTAGTATTATTTTCAGAGAGAGGACCAGGAAGACATGGAGCCAGCCTTAGGAAGTTCAGGGAGTATACCAGAACCTTCAGTAGAGCTCACCACAGTAGATGAGAAAAAGAAAGTAGATAAGTGGTCGATTTTAAAATTAAGAAAATGGAACTTCTTTATGAAGAACCCATACTTGTTGGAGATTAAATCTTTTTATTTACTGTGACATTGGCTTTCCTCATTGACTGGAAATTTGACGCTAAGTAGTCCATATTCAGATTTGTTTTTCCAAAACAAGCCATGATACTTTTGATGCAAAATTATCAATGACACAAAACGATTAATATAGTAGTATTGCTAATAGGAAAATGATATAAAGGTCTAGCTCCTAGAATGACTAATTTCTGATTTCTAACCCAGGCAGAATGTGGTTTTTGTTTTTTTGACAAGTTTTTTAGTATGAAATATATATTTTTTTTATTTAAGAGCATGGTTAAGAAGCCTTATTTAATGAAAAACTAGAACTTTACATCCTAAATAACACCTTTATGTTTAGAAGAGATGTTTGCCAATTGTAGGAATAAATAGCCTGGGTTACAGCTGAACCTGTCCTACCCTCTCCAGCTTTCATGGGCTTTAGTCTTCTCCCTGAAGGGCATGGTAGAGAATGAGTCAGATTGTGTTGGAATTTTGAAAGCATAAAGAGGGATTGCTGAGCTAGTTCTTTTATTTCCCTCTATACCTTTTCTTCCCTTCTTCCAAATGTGGACACGTGCGTGACAAGTTGAAATACTGATCAGATAGACTCTGCTACGCCCCAGATTTAGGCCTATGCTGATGTTCCCACAGGGAATATTTTTTTACACTGCTCCCTTGGAAGAAAGGAAACTAAGTTTGAGATTTTGCACCAGAATCAGAAATAAATAGAAAGGGCCTGCTATTTCCAAGCTTGTGAATAGAGACATGTAAATACCTTATATGATAGTCTACTTAAGAGTCCTAGGAGTTCCACAAGTCAAAGAGTACTGGCTGTAACCATCTTTAGTTAGACTCTGGTTAAAGAAGAGATTAGGTTGACCATTTTCATATTCCCAATTCAAGTTCAGAATCTAGAAAAAAAATGTTAGTTTTCCTTCTAACTTGGTTTACGATATAAGGACTAAATTTAGCTATTTCTGGTAATAATGGGACCCACCAGACTTTAGAAGAAAATACTTTTTAAAATTATGTAGTTTCTATATGAACATCTGGCAGCTTGAATCGATATCAGAAAAAGTCTAATTAGTGTTATCTCTCAATTGAGAGCCAGCCCCTCAAGACTGTTGTGATTAATCAAATCATTATAGATACGAAAGTACTTCACAAAGTTAATAGTGTTGTGCATGCTTTATGTTTTTGCTAATGAAAGCGAGATAGTATGTCCTTGTTGAAATGAACCAGGATTTGTTTTAACCAGGTATGGTAAGTCCACATAGAGAAATACCTGGGCCAGCCAGGAGCAGAAGGAGCAAGGGAAACCAGATCTTTGGTTTCTGAGGGAAGGAGTGGGTGAGGCAGGATAAGCTTTAGCAAGTTTAGGTTGGGTGGTTTGAATCCTTTCAGTGGGTTCTGGGCTACAGGGGTAGTCCCTCTGTTGTTTGGCACTTGGCCCTGGAGTGATTAGGGCAGGTACAATAATTGGTTTAGTGTAGGAGAGTTAGATAAAGGAAGTGGTTAGTGGTAAGGGTTTTGGATTGGTTGTTTTGCTTACGGAAGGCGTGCCCCCAAGATGAGTTGTTTACTATCTCTAAGATTAGCCAGCCCGGATAGGGGCAGTCTCTGCAGGATTGGCAAGCCCCCTAAAATGTCAAAGCATCATAAAATACAGAAATTTTTTACCTTGTTTGAAACTAGCCCACATGCTACAGAGCTGTGAGGCCAGCTTCAATATTACTTTTCTTCTTTTTATGACCAAGACTGGTGTTCAAATCTGAGCCAGAGGGTGAAATACAGAAATTTTAAAACATGATTAATGTTTATCTTCAGTAATTATAAGATCAGTATGATTGGAAATATATATATGTCATAAGATTGCTGCTAACAATAATTTTTTTTTCTTTGTAGGAGGAAGCGGAGGAGGAGGAATTAGTGGTAAGAGCTGTCTCAGGTTTGGAACCATCCCAGTAAAAGGAAGTTTGAGCTTTATGAAATAGCTTTATGAAGCATTTTTTAAGGAGTCCTTATTGTAGACACCTTGGAGAGAATGGGAGTGGGAAAAGCCTGTAATAGTTCCTTCCTGTGGAGTAGAGTACTTGGCAGGTGGGCCTGGGAAGCTGAGTTTTTTTCTGGGTTTTGGGCTTCTTTAGTTGTGTCAGGGAGGAGGGCAGCATCTTGAGGACCTGGCACTTAGTCATCTGCTATTGGTGGTTTAATAAATAATTCTGGAAGGAACTCTTCTTGGATGGTTCTTCTGTGTTAACATTGCCTTTCTAGCTGGGCAGCTGAGGTGTGTAGGCTTTGCTGTCAGATGAAGGGAATTGAAATTCAGACATTAGATATCCCCAAATGCTCTGTTAACAAGTAAGGCCTCCTGTAGATCTACTTCAAGTTTGGCCAGGTTTCCTTTACCACCTTGTTTTTCAGATAGGACTGAGGCTTTCAGTGCATACTGGCAACCTGGAAAGGCAGGAATATGAAACTTCTCCCTACTACTTAGCATCAAAATTGAATGGGAGACCCCATTCTGCCATTTCTGGTAGCAGTGTGGCTCTGCCAGCTGGCCTTCTGCACGGTAATTCAGAGGCAGCACCTTGGTTTGGTGGTTGTATTAATGAAAGCATGTGGTTTGGGGATTGCCTTCCCTAAAACCTCCATTTTGGTTGTTTGTTTGTTTCTCCATCAGGATCCCCTAACAACAGTGAGAGAGCAGTGTGAACAGTTGGAGAAATGTGTAAAGGCTCGGGAGCGGCTAGAGCTTTGTGATGAGCGAGTATCCTCCAGGTCACACACAGAGGAGGATTGCACGGAGGAGCTCTTTGACTTCTTGCATGCAAGGGACCACTGTGTAAGTCAGCCTGAAGTCAGGAAGGGGGAAAGCTTACAGTGGCTGGGGATGACTTGGTTCTGACAACCTTTGCATCCTAGCATTTACTGTGGCCCAATATATATCAGTAGTAGTACTGAGCACTTTACATAAGAAATCTTACCTAATCCTACCACTTTCACTGGAGGCAGGTATTATTATCCCTCCCCTGAGCCTCAGAGAAGAGATGCGATATCTCAACTTGTACTGCTAAACAGTGAGGAAGCTGAATTTTGTACTTTTAAGTAACAAGCTATTCTCTGAAATAATTTATATTCTCCAGTGTGTCTTTTATATAGAAATTGGTCTAAAAAAATTTTTTTTAAAGTAAACTTGTGTTTGACTCTCTTATGTATAATACTAAGGTATTTTAAATTATAGGGAAGGCAAGGTTTGATATGGTTGCTTATCTTAAAACATTGTGTAAGCATATGAAAAGATGTTCAACACCATTAGCTATCAAGGAAATGCAGGTCAAAACCACAATAAGATACCACTTCATATCCACTAAATTGGCTCCAATGAAAAAGATAGGTAACAAGTGTTGGCCTATGTGGAGAAATTGGAAACCTCATACATTGCTGATGATGAAAACGTAAATTGGTACAGCTTGTGCAAGACAGTCTGGCGGTTCTTCGAAAGGTTAAACATAGAGTTACTGTATGACCCAGCAATTCTGCTCCTAGGTATATCTAAGACAATTGAAAACATGTCTACATAAAAACCTGTACACAAATACTCATAGGAACATTATAATTGCTAAAAAGTAGAAACAACATAAATGTCTATGAACATGCATATAATGAAATATTATTTGGCAATAAAAAGAAATCAAGCTCTTTACCCAAAACTCGAAACACAGATCACCATATTGAGCCAGCAGTTCCACTTCTGGTTATATACCCAAAAGAAATGAGACTCTGTTGAAGGATTTGAAGAAGATATTTGTGCATGCATGTGTGTAGCTGCATTCACAAAAACCTGAGCGTCCATTAATAGATGGATGGATAAACAAAATGTGATAGGTACGTGCAATGAGATATTACTGGGCTTGAAAAAGGAAGGAAACTGACACATGCTACAATATGAATGAAACTTGAAGACATACTAAGTGAAATAAACCAATCACAAAAGGACAGATACCCTTCCAATTATATGAGATACCTTAAGTAGTCAAATTCATAGAGACAGAAAGAATGGTGGTTGTCAAGTGCTAAGAGGAATTACTATTTAATGGGTACAGTGTTTCAGTTTAGGAATGTGGGAAAATTCTAGAGATTAATGATTTCAGGACATTATGAATGTACTTAATGCCACAACAATGTATTATTAAAAATGGTTAAAATGCTAAGTTTTATGTTATTTAAATATTTTTATGAGCAAAGCACTAGATTAAGATCTGAGAGTGAAATAGGCATGGTCCTTTCTTTCACTGAGTTATGAGCCAGAAAATGGTTAGTGAACTGGTAAGTCTCTTGGGTCTAAGTGTTTTAGGATAGCCTTCACTCACCCCCTTATTTATTTGTAGATGTTATGTATTTTTAGAGAGAGGGAAAGGAAGGGAGAAAAAGAGGGAGAGAAACATCAATGCAAGAGAGAAACATTGATTGGTTGCCTCTTGTACCCCGACTGGGGACCAAACTAACAACCCAGGCATGTGCCCTGACCTGGGGATTGAACTGGTGACCTTTTACTTTGTGGGAGGATGCCCAACTGAGCCACACAGGTCAGGGCTGACCCCCATATTTAAAGATGACAGGCTCCCTCTGCCCCATTTTATTTTCCTCAGTATTTATCACTATCAGAAGTAACCTTATGTGCCCTGACTGATGTGGCTCAGTGGGTTGGGCATCGTCCCACAAACCAAAAGGTTGCTGGTTCAGACCTGAGTTGCAGGCATATGGATTGGGGTGTGCAAGGTGGAACTAATTGGTGTTTCTCTCCCTCTTTTTCCCCTTCCCTTTCCCTCTCTCTAAAAATTAAAATCTTTAAAAAAAAGTCTCATGTGTATATTATATTTCTGTTATTCTCTAAGTTCCATAAGAGAGAGAGATATTGTTGTGTTTGCTATTGTAACTCAGCACCTAGGACAGTCCCTGACATTTAGATGTTGTATAAATATTTGTAGAATTAATAAGCACTGTGATATGGGGGTATTATGTTTCTGTGGGGGAAACAGAGGGACAGATTTGTGTGGGGATAGGGCTTGTTTAGAGAAGGCTTTTATTTTAACTTCTAAAGGAAAAGATAAAAAAACTGGAAAAGAGAGTTCCAGGTAGGAAGGAGATTTGGGTAACTGCAGGGAGCTCACTACAGCCCAGGAGGGTGTGAGTATGTAGGAAGGAGTGGTGAGTGATGGGGGGAGTACCGTTCCAGATCATGAAGAACCTTGTAAGCCTTGGCATTAAAGCTGGCAATTAATGACATCTTTTCTTTCCTCCATAGGTGGCCCACAAACTCTTCAACAGCTTGAAATAAATGTGCAGACTCATTTACCTGTGGGCACCACTGAGGAATCAGGACATTTCCTCGTGGTTTTGAACATGCCATTTGTTTCTTATTTGTGTAACTAAGTTCATGTGAACCTCATGGATTTGCTTAGGCAATAGTTCCCATTGTAATTAGCAGTGATTCCATCTTCAATAAAGTCTAGTAATCTACAGACCTTTCTTTTATTTAGAATTTATTTGAAAATTTCAAACACAGGGATAGAATAATAAACAACACCTCTGTACCCATTAACTAGCATGTATCTCTTTAATGATAAGAACTTTATTTTTTTTTTTTTGTTTACTTTGATGCCTTTATCACGTTTAAAATGAGCAATAGCCTTGTTCACAACAATAGACTTGCGTGGTTCAGTTGGTTGGGTCGCACTGCAGAGCGAAGTGTTGCTGGTTGGATTCCTGGCTGAGGCACATGCCTGGGTTGCTGGCCCAGTCCCCAGTTGGGGTGCATGCAGTAGCCAATCAATGCTCCTCTCCTTCTCTTTCTCCTTCCCTTCCCCTCTCTCAAAAAATAAATTCTTTAAAAATAATAATAAAATGAATAATAATTGCTTAATACCATTATTAAATACCCAGTTCATCTCTAAAGTGTCTTGACAGTTTTTGATCTCCATGTCCAACAGGTTGCTTTTCTTTAAAAAAAAAAAATTCTTTTTTATGTCCTGGCTGATGTTGTTGAGTGAATTGAGCATGGACCTGTGAACTGAAAGGTAGCAGGTTCAATTTCCAGTCAGGGCACATGCCTGGGTTGAGGGCCACGTCCCCAGTTGGGGGGCTGTGAGAGGCAACTGAATATTTCTCTCCCTCTCTCCCTCCCCCTTTCTAAAAAGTAAAAATCTTTAAAAAATAATTCTAAAAAAAAGGGAGGGAGAAGGGTGTAGGTTTGTGGAGGGAGGGGTACTAGAGTGTAAGGTGAGAAAAGATCACCTGGGTAGACAGTGCTGGCAGTGAGAGATTGGTTACATACATACAGGTTGGATTGATCCAATAAATAAATACATTGAAGATAATGGAAGCTAGCAAAGAATGAAGCTGCAAATATGGAAAAGGAAAAAAAAATGAACTCCGTAGTGTTAAGGTATAAACTAAATAAATATAGATTTCAATGTAAGTAAATGTAGATGCCAATATGTATACATGTAGGGAATGTATACATTTATTCCCTAGCTCAGCCCACAAAGAGGGAAGGCATCCTTCCCCAATAAAAGGAACAGGGCCCCTTGGAGAAATGGGTGATTCCAGAGCTAGGCATGGAAAATACAAGTAAGCTTGGAACATTTTGTTCTAGAAAGGAAGTGCTCAAAGAACGACAGGAACATGTCCAAAGTATATAAAACCACTAGTTAAGTTTGGGACAATTTTGAGCATCAAAATATATGATGACAGTATAGATTATAGCCCACTGAATAAAATAGGAATCCATGAGTCCATACAAATACAAATAAGTGAATCAGTTGAAAGTTTGGTGAAGAAGGCAATACAAAATAATTACAAAAGGAGAAAGTACACCGGAGAAGCTTGGCAGGGAGTAACTTGGATTAAAGCTGACATCACCAGTAATGGGACAAATAACTACCACCTACAGACAGCAATGAGGAAAAAACGCATCACTAATTCCTGCAAAAAAAAAACAAAAACGTTTAACCAGATAAATTGAGGGACGTTCTATAAAATTAGACTATATAGACTAATACTACATCAAGGATGTGAAAGTCAAGGAAAAACTGCATAACTTCTAGATAGGAGACCAAATAAGACAGCCCTGGTTGGTATGGCCCAGTGGTTGGAGCCTCATCCTGGAATCAAAGGGGTCACGGGTTCAATTACTGGTCAGGGTATATACTTGGGCTGCAGGTTCGTTTCCAGTCTGGGTGTGTATGCAAAGCAACCAATCAACCAATTGATGCTTCTCTCTCCTGTGATGTTTCTCTTCCTCTCTCTCTAAAAGCAGTGAAAAAAATGTCCTCTGTGAACCAAAGTGTCGCAGGTTTGATTCCCAGTCAGGGTACATGCCTGGGTTGCAGGCCACGACCCCCAGCAACCGCACATTGATGTTTCTCTCTCTCTTCCTCCCTTCCCTCTCCAAAAATAAATAAATAAAATCTTAAAAAAAAAAAAAGTCCTCTGGTAAGGATAAAAAAGAAAGAACCAAGACAACTGAATGCAACATGTGATACTAAAACTGGATCCTTTTGTTATTAATGGTATTAGTGGGATAATTGGTAAACTTAAATAGAATCTCAATTATTCAATGGCAGTGATATATCAGTGCTCAAGTTTGGAATTATTAAAAACTAAAATCCCCAGTAAATCTGAAATGTGTAGAACAGAGGATGACTTCAGTCTTTTAACAGCACAAAGTGTTAAAACTGAGCCATCACAATCCCAAATATGTCTAGTGTTAGAATTTCACGTTTTCCCATATAACAGTAAATAGTAATGAGACTCTGCAGTACTGCTAGTATTTTTTTTTAACTGACATCTGTTGGCTGCTTTATTTTTCACTTTAAAGACAAGACTAAAATCAAAACCACTGAATTTACACTGTGCAATCTGAAAGAATCAAAAATAGCTATAATCCTAAAGCAGCTTCAAAGTGTTACCACTGAAATCAATTACAGATGTTTACTCTTAGAGGCTATTATGAAGACTGCAAACTCAAATACTGATAGTGGTTATTCAAAATTCAATTTATGGAATACCTAGGTTAGAAATTGAACTGGAACCTGTTGTCAGTATAATATCCACTAGCAACAATTTTTTAAAAGACAACACTATTGTTTTAATATAAATCAGGAGTTTTAGAATCATCTCTGGTGCTTTCAATTGTCACATGGCCATGAAACAAAGACCCAGATAATTTCAATGATCAGATACTGTTTAGGCAATAATTCTCATGTGTTAGCACTTTTAATATTGTACACATACAATTATAGTAAAAAGATGACTATAAATAAGATGTAGCCCCTCAATTTCCATGATCAGCACACTGCATTACAGTAAATCAAGTCTATATTCCACCATCAAGTGTGGTTCTCCCATTAGTTCACTTTGTGATGGGTCATTAAGAATATCTTCAGCCCTGGCTGGCGTACCTAAGTGGATTGAGCACAGGCTGCGAACCAAAGGGTTGCAGGTTTGATTCCCAGTCAGGGCAGATGCCTGGGTTGTGGGCCAGGTCCCCAGTGGGGCCCACGCAAGAGGCAACCACACATTGATGTTTCTCTTTCTCCCTCCCTTCCCATCTCTAAAAATAAATAAAATCTTAAAAAAAAAGAATATCTTCAAACCCAACAGTCTTATCATTACCCCTCAAAATATCCAGTAAAAGGTTTGAGCTTGGAAGAAATGGAAGAGGCTGAACCTGTTGCACTGTCTTGAATTCCATTTGCAGTTTTAATGGAGCAAACAGACCCTAGATGTTTCTTAGTGTGGAAAAATTCATTTTATCTTGGTTGAGTTGAAATTTTTTTCTGATAATCCAAGAAGATGATGGGCAAAAGTTCATCTTTCACATGTAAAACCTCTTCAAAGAAGATCATGACTTTCAAAAGGTCCACTTGCTGAAAGTTCAGTAACTGTAATACTGTCCTTCAGCTTGCTCTGCAAACAGCTTCTTAGCACCCTTACCATCCACAGTACTGCTAGTGTTATATGTTGCTCAAGGGATAGGCTAGGTCAGTACTGTCCAATAGAATATTCTGTAATATGTCCTGGCTGATATGGCTCAGTTGGTTGGAGCATCATCCCATGAACAGAAAGGTCGCAGGTTTGATTCCGTCAGGGCACGTGCCTAGGTTACGAGTTCTCAGTTGGGGTATGTACGAGAGGCAACCGATCGATGTTTCTCTCTCACATTGATGTTTCTCACCCCCCTTCCTCCCTTTCTCTCTCCCTTAAAAAATTAGAAGAAAGAAAGAATCAAATGGAATTTCTCGAGCTTAAAAATATAATATCTGAAATAAATTCATTGGATAAGATTAACAAAGGATTAGATGCTGAAGAAGAAAAAAAATCAGTGTACTGAAATGCTGTTGAAGACAGAGCAACAGAAACTAAAAACTGAAGCACACACAAAACCCCAAAACAAAACCCTGAAGCATAAGAGGAAAAAAAAACAGTGAAAATAAATGAACAAGGAAAATGCTGTAGGATTTTCCTTGGACAGTAAAGGATAATATCAAATGGTCCAGAAGAGAAGGAAAATGTGGAAGTAGAGGGGGGAGAAAAAATACTTGAAGCAGTAATGGTTGAAATTTTCCAAATTTGATGAAAATTATAAACTCACAGTTCCCAGAAGCTCAACAGACCCCAGACAGAATAAACACAACGGAAATCACAACTCACTTATCCTCAAACTGTTTAAAACTAGTGGTAAAAAAAAATCTTAAAGAGAAAAGATGCATTACATACAGAGGCACAAGGAATTACTATGCAATTCATAAGAAACAACTCATCTTTAAAGAGGTGAAAGAAGAAAATTTTGACTCAAGAATTCTGTATCTAAGCCCTGGCTGGCGTAGCTCAGTGGATTAAGTGCGGGCTGCGAACCAAAGCATCGCAGGTTCGATTCCCAGTCAGGGCACATGTCTAGGTTGCAGGCCATGGCCCCCAGCAACTGCACATTGATGTTTCTCTCTTTCTCCCTCCCTTCCCTCTCTAAAAAATAAATAAATAAGATTAAAAAAAAGAATTCTGTATCTGCCCTGACCAGCATGACTCAGTTGGTTGAGCATCATCCCACAAAGAAAAGCCTTGCTGGTTCAATTCCTGGCCAGGGCCATTGCCTGGGTTGTGGTCCTGGTCCCCAGTTGGGGTGCATGCAGGAGGCAACCCATCAATGTTTCTCTCACACATCGATGTTTCTCTCTCTTTCTTCCTCCCTTCCCCTCTCTCTAAAAAATAAGTAAAGCCTTAAAAAAAAACTACAGCTAACATATATAATAGTGAAAACTACAAACATATATAATAGTGAAATACTGAATGCTTTCCCTTTAAGAATGGGAACTAGGCAAAGCTGTCTATACTACCGCTACTTGGATTCAACCATAAATCATAACTAATAGCTTAAAGCAACAAAGGGAAAAGGGGGGAAAAGGCATACAGTTAGGGAAATATAATTATTTTTCATAAAGATATTTATGTTAACATGTAATGGGTTTATTATTGTTAATAAAAATTAAAATTTTTGTTTTAATTTTTTTAGTTGTTTTTCTGGTTCCTTTTGCTCAACTTTGTTCTTTTTTTTAAATTATTTTTCCATTGTTTTAATTTTTAACTTGGCTAATACTGATAGACAAACAAAAGCTCAATAATTCTCAATAATTTTTAAGACAGTAAAACAATCCTAAGACCAAAAAGTTTGAGAATCATTGATCCAGTCCAACCTTTGCTGCAGCATTTTATAGATGGGTAAGCTGAGGCTTGGAGTGTGAAAGGGCCCTTCACAAGGAGGTTTTTGGCTGTGGTCCTGACACTCCATATTTGCTTTAAGCCCTTGAGAATCGGTGTGACTGAGATACCTCCTCTCCAGTGTATCCAATCGCTTTTCATTGGATCCTTATCTGGATTTATTTATTTATTTATTTATTTATTTATTTATTTATATTTTGTTTATGTTATTACAGTTGTCCCAATTTTTTCCCCCTTTGCCCCTCTCCACTTCTCTGCTTCCTACTTCCTCACTCAGTCCGAACATCATTGTCCATGTCCATGGGTCATGCATATATGTTCTTTGGCTATTCCCTTCACCTTCTTTCAACTAGTCCCCCCTTCCCCTCTCCCCACTTACAGCTGTCATCTGTTCCACATTTCTATGCCTCTGGTTCTATTTTGCTCATTAGTTTATTTTCCTCATTAGATTTCACATATAAATGAGATCATATGGTATTTGTTTTTCATTGACTGGCTTATTTCATTTAGCATAATAAATAGTCTACAGGTCCATCCATGCTCCTTATCTGGATTTCAATGTCTCTGAGGTGTTTTTTTTTTTTAAAGGCCTTTCTCTATGCATACGTCCCTCCACCTTACAACTGCCAGGTCCCTGGAACAAACTTTTTGAAAAATTTGTTTATACTCACATTTCTATTTTATCATCTTTCACTGATTCATTCAATTGATATTTATTGAGAGCTGCCTATGTACCACATACAAATTCTAGGTACTGATAATTCAGCAATGAATTAAAATTCTTACTCTTATTTTATTGTTATTTAATTAATCCTCATGCAAGCATGTTTTTTTAATTGATTTTTTTTCTTTTTTTTTGAAACATCAATGTGTGGTTGCCTCTCACACACCCACCACTGAGGACCTGGCCTGCAACCCAGGCATGTGCCCCAGACTGGGAATCAAACCAGTGATCCTTTGGTTCACAGGCCCATGCTCAATCCACTGAGCTATGCCAGTCAGGGCTTTTTAAATTGATTTTTGAAAGGGAGGGAGGGAGAGAGGGAGAGAGACAGACAGACAGACATCAGTTCGAGAAACAATTGATCAGTTGCCTCTGCATACTCCTGGACGTGGTATTGAACCTGCAACCTAGGTATGTGCCCTGACCAGAAATCAAATCTGCAACCTTTTGGTGTATGGTACAATGCTCCAACCAACTCAGCCACCCAGCCAGGGCAAATCCTTGCTCTTTTAAATATTACATTCTAGTGAGGGAATTCAGGTCCAGAAAAATAGTCTGGAATGTGTATAGGGCAGAAGAGGATTACTGGGAGCTCTTTCATTGTAGTGTTGGTGTGTATATACCTTTCACTGACTTTATATTGACTGGGCTGTCTTACAACTTTGTAGGGGTAGAGGTTAACTTGTAGACAAGCATTGACAATGTCAGTGATTCTCTTCCGAGAGCAATGCAAATGATTCCTATCCATAGTAATGAATTTTGTCCAATAGAGATGGAAATGATTTTCATCTGATAGAAGAGATAATTCTAAACATTAGTTTGTTCCTTAATAGGTTATTAATGATTTTGCAAATACTAGCACTCCTTTGGCTGATAATCTAAATCTCTGAACCTCAAATTCTCATTTGAACAAGTCCTACCAACTTACTGTTTGTTATTTAGGATAATAACGGATGAGTAGTTTAGTATGATGAAGAAAATCTTTGGCATGTGTTCACTTTATATTTGTATAAGAGTTATGTTTTTCACCTTTTTAAATTGAACTTTTGGGGGTGACATTGGTTAATAAAATTACATAGGTTTCAGCTGTCCAATTCTATAATGCATCATCTATTGATTGTATTGTGTGTTCACCACCTCAAGTCAAGTCTCCTTCCATCATTATTTATTCACCCTACACACTTTTTTACCTCCCCCACTTTCCCCCTGGTAATCAGCATACTGTTTGTCTATGTGATGTTTTTTTCCTTAATCCCTTCACATTTTTCACCCAGCCCTGCAACTCCCCTTCCCTCTGTCAGCTGTCAGTTTGTTCTCTATGAGTCTGTTTGTACTTTGTTAACTTATTTTGTTAATTAGATTCCATATATGAGTGAAGCCATATGTACTTATTTTTCTCTGACTGGCTTATTTCACTTAGCATAATGCCCTCCAGGTCCATCTATGCTGTTGCAAAGGATAAGATTTCCTTGCTTTTTTTTTTTTAACTGCTGAATAATATTATATTATGGAAATGTATCACAGCTTTTTATCCACTCATCTAGTGGGCACTTGGGTTGCTTCCAAATCTTGCCTATTATAAATAATGCTGCAATGAACATGGGGGTGCATGTTTCTTACCTAGTGAAAATTATAAATTTGCAGGCTATAAGAAAATAAATACATATAAGATGTTAATAAGTTGTAAGAATAAAAGCAGGGCAAAAGGACAGCTATTGACTGGTGTGTACTATATACTATTTTATGTAGGGTCAGTCAGTCAGTAAATCCTGTAATTTCTCTCTTAATTATAACTGGGATCTATCCTTTTCTCCCCACCTTCACTGCCACCACACTAATCCATACAATCATCTCCTTTCACCTACTCCCCATCTACTCCCACCATCGGCTATCAGATGATCACTTTAAAAAACATTTATCAGTGGGAGTGAAGGGGGGGATGGGAAAACTGTAATAGCATAATCAATAAAATATATTTTAAAAAATAAAATAAAAAACATTTATCATGTCCCTCCTTTCCCCTGGCTCCTTTAGGGGAAAGGAGGGACATGGTGGGGTCGGTTTCCCTATGGTGGACTCAAGTTTTGTGTAGCCCAAAGCTTACACAATTCAGGAGGTCCTCTTTAAGAAAAATAATACATTAGGTACTGGGCCTTGAAGGGAGAAGTGCGAATGACATGTCTACAAACTTACGCTTTCATTAGCTTCACTATAAATCCATCTCTGCCTACACGTCGCCTTGGCTCGTTTTTCTCTGCCTTAGGATCTTTCTCCGTGCAATTCTTTTGCCTTCCTGAAGGCCTTTCTCGCCGTTATAAACCAAGTTAACCCAGTATTTCTGCCAGCTCCTTGGCCTCCCTGATTCCCCCAACTGGGGTAGGGACCTTTACCGAGGCTTTCCCTAAGCTCCAAGCATGCATCCGGAGCCTCCATTTTATGGTGCGAATGGTTGCTCTTTTCCAGCATCCTCAAAAGAACCGTGGAGGGGCGAGGTTTGCACCTATGTAAGGATCAGCGGAGCCCGGTGAGGAGTTAGCCGTAAATCCCTCCCTCTTTCGTTCGGCCCGGCGCGCACCACCTCTGGAACCTAAGAGCCTCAGCGTTGTTGTTCCGGTCGGAAGTACCGGACAGCGCACGCTGACATGGCTGCGCTGGTAGTAAGGGGTGTTCAGGACTTGCTGAAGCGAGCGGATTTCGCGAAGATCCCGCGGAGACACCGATATAAGAAGAAATGGGTAAGGTCCAGCCTGGGGCCCAGGAGGGAACAGTGACAGTGGCCTCTGGCGGCCGCCCCTCGAGAAACTTCTCCGGGCCTTCCACTTCGCTCTCCACTCAAGTTCGCTACTCCCGCCCCTCTGGAACGCTTTTGGCCTCTTGTCCCCGCGCCTCAGGGGACGTCACGAGGCTTTTCTCTCTCAAGTCTGTTTCTTCAGCGCCTCTGTCAGCTCTTTATTTCGCCGTAAGTCTTAGACTCTTCCTCTAGTCCGGTCTGCATCCTCCTGACTCCGCCTCTCTATGTTACGTCATCTCCACCGCCCTCATTCTTCCAGTTACGTTACCGCCTCTAGTTCCCAGCTTGGGGTTATTTTCCCCTTGACTCCCACTACTCCTTCCACTTCCCTTTCCCCCTTTTCCCTTCCCTCCCCCTCTTTCTTACCCTTCCCCCTCCCATACGACCTCTTCTCCTTTCCTTATGGAACTTTCAGCCCGACCGCCCTCACCCCCCGGAAAATGCCAGAGCGACTTCCCCTTCCTTTCTGGGTCTCCGCTGCCCTCCGGGAAAGGATTCAACCCCTTCCTCACATTCGATCCGCCTCTGGCGCCCAGGAAAGAGTACAGCGACCACCCTGCCCATACCTCCGGCCCTTCCCCAAACCCGGGCAAAAGGTGCACCGACTCTCCCCATCCTCTGGCTTCTACCCAGTTCCCCAGTGACCCTTATTCGGGGCTCACCTGTAGCCCTGGTATTTCTTCCAAAACGGGCACACCCGGCTCCCTACCCAAACCGATTTCCTCCCCGCCACCACAATCTCCTGTGCTCCGGGTGAGATGTCCTCTTGAACCCTGTTCTCCACTCTTCGGAAGGCAACACTGCCGCGAGTCTATCCGCTCGGGTTCGCCCCCTCGGAGCCCTTGCTTTGACAGGTCCAAACTTATGGGGTCACCCCCTCTCCATCCGCAGAGCCCTTATTGCAGCTTGCTGAGCCCCCCGAGAACACCACGTCCCTGTCGCCGAAGCCCTTATATTGACCAGAACTCTTACCTCTGTTACTGTGCTGAATACCCTTCAGCCCTGGTAACAAGCCCGGTCACCTACCTTCCCCTCACTCAGCGGCCCCCACAAACCAGCCCAGTGACCTCTCCTCTCCTTACTCGTGTCCGTTTGAAAACTGGTCCCACGATTTCACCTCCTCCTGCTCACCGGCCCACGGAATCTAGACCTGCAATTTCCCCATTCCTTTATCACAGGGTTTTGGAAATCTCACAGATTCCCCCTCGGTACCCTCCCTGTTCCTCAAGGAGAAGTTATAATGATCCTCCTCCTCCTTCAGCATTTTCTCCATCCACTGGCCAGTTTTACCAAGGCTGTCTTAAGCCTCCAGACTCTTCTCAACCTAAACCACAGCTTGATCCACCCCTTGTGAAAAATTATTGTGACTCTCCACTTTCTTCTCGGGCAAATGCATCTGGCTGTTCTAGCTCACCTCAGGAAGGCTCCAATCATGATTCCCATCTTCCCCCAGAGGCCCACATATCTGCCCCTGGGAGCCCTTATTGTGTCATCTGTTTACCCCCTGGGGTTACTGATTCTTCTTGCTCATCCCAGGCCCAGGCTCCCAGGAAGCCTTGCTTTGAGTCGGTTTTCCCTTGGGAGACTGATGGGAGCTCTTACCTCTCTTCTGGTGCCACAATTTCTGGTCCCCCATATTCCCAGGAAACATCTCCTCCCCTGTCCTCTCACTGTCCCTATTCTGCCTTCTCTTTCCCTTCACCCACGGGTAATCAGTTTATATCTTCACCTGAGTCACCTCCTCGTAGAAGCTATAATGAACCCCCTCTCGTTATCCCAGTTTGCCCCCAAGTGAAATGCCCCAAATCCCCAGAGTTAAAACAGCCATGTGCTCCCCACAGATGTTGCTCCCTTGTCACCATTGCCCAGAACACTCCTTCTGACCAGCCCAAGCCCCCTAAGTTCATCGCCTCTCCTCCACCTCCCTCCCACCCTTCTGGTCTCTCTGATCCTTCTTGTATGGTGACATCCACTACAACTTGTTCAAATTCCTGCCCCCAAAAACTTCCCCAAGGGACTGTCTTACCTACTCTGGTCCCTAGAACCCTCAAAACTATTATCCCCACTTCCCTTCCCATCCACCTTTCTTGTGATCCTGGTTTACCCAGTATTTATGCTCAGAGCTATCCCCTAGGACCCCCTGTAGGAGCCCCTTGCAATACTCATATATATTCTGTGGTTCCTCCTACCCCTGATCCCTTTCCACTTTCTGGTTCCACAGGTCCCCCCCAGTGTCAAAACCAGTCCATGGTGCCCCCTTGTGGTACCCATGGCATTCCCAGGGGTCCACCGCAACCCCATTGTCAGCCTGTAGGACCTCCATGTTCTACCCACATCTATTCTTTTATCCCTTTGAGAACACCTTTTGACCCCTCAAGTTTACCCATTGTCCCCCGACCTCGGGGCCACTGTGATACTATGCCCTGTGGCCTTCATGTCTACTCTGTGGCTACTCAAGGCTCTCATAAAGAGACACCCCAGGTACCCTACAGCTGTCCATTGCCGTCATCCATGAGTTCCAGCTCTATCAATAATCCTAGCTGTGGCATTAATTCCAGCTGTAGTGTAACTGCTGTTATTAGTGAAAGCCAGAGTAGTGATAGCCAGAACAAGAATACCCTCCTAAGCAGAAGTCAGAGCCAGTGTGAAAATCTCCACCATCTTAGCAGAGGTTGTAGTAAAAGCAAGAGCCTTCATGGTAGCAGAAGTCAGAGCCGGAGCAGGTGTCCTCATCAAAGCAAAAGTCGGAGCCGGAGTAATAGCCCCCACAAAAGCAAAAGAGAGGATCAGTGTGAGAGTCTCCAATATAGCAAATGTCAGGGCCAAAGCAAGAGTGTCCACCATAGCAGAAGTCAGAGTCGAAGCAAGAGTCCTCAACATGGCCAAAGGCAAGGTAAGAGCAAGAGCCCCCATCGTAGCAGGAACCGGATCAAGAATCCTCACCACTGCAAGAACTGTGATTGGAGCAAGAGCCACGGTCGGAGCAAGAGCCCTTACCATAATCAGAAATGAGGGCTGGAACAAGAGTTCTGACCAAACCAGAAATCCAGACCAGGGCAAAATTCACAGGAACAAGACTGCCAGTAAGCGTCCTAGCTGTGGCAATCAGGACCAATGTGTAGACTCCTCAGCTGAGGTCTTCATTTTCCTGTTAATCTACTTTCATGCTCTTCAAGCCTGACTAGTATCCCTCTCTGCTACCCCCATAGCAGTCATCCTAGAAGTACCCATTTTGGTTCATACCTCAAGGTTTCTATGAGCTCTCCTTTTCCTATCTCCCTGAGGTCTGGAAACTCACCCAAAATGACCCTCCACCCTGTGATTACATTATGGTGTCCACCACTGTATGAACTTTGGTAAGTTGCCCTCATCTCCATCAAATGTGGAGGGTTGATATTTTTTGTTTTCCACTGAACTATCTATTGTGATGCTCTCATAAGACAGGAGACATGAAAATGCTTTAGAAAAGTGGAAGAACTGTTCAGAAAGAGAGTCCTTTGTTTTAGCCTGAAACTTCCCCAAAGGCTTCCATTGTTTCTTCCAACTTTCTGTAGATTTTCCTCAAGAGTGCTTTTCTGAGCTCCCATTCTCTTAAGTTCCTCTTATTCCAAGGATTCAAGTGCCCCCTTTCTTCGAGGCCCCCACATGCTATCATGAGAGCTACAACTTCCTTTCTGCCACAGCCCTGAGATAGAAGACCAGCTCTTCACTACTTCTCTCTCCCACACTTCTGTGGCATGCAGAGGCAGGGTCCAAAGGCAGGAGTGAGCACTTACTGGATCCATGTTAGATTTAGAGATCTGAAGTATTGGTGGGGTTATGCTGTAGTGGATAGAGGCAAGACCGGAAGACCAATAATCCTGTTCTTTCCCTTTTAGGCTGCCACAGAACCCAAATTTCCTGCCACTCGACTGGCTCTGCAGAATTTTGACATGACCTATAGTGTGCAGTTTGGGGATCTTTGGCCATCAATCCGGGTCAGTCTTCTCTCAGAGCAGAAGTATGGTGCACTGGTCAATAATTTTGCTGCCTGTGATCATGTGAGTGCTGAACTAGAGCAACTGTGTGCCAGGGACTTCGTGAATAAAGCCCACTCCCATGGGGAACTGGAGCCCGAGAGTGGCCAAATGGCTGCTCCATCCCTAGCTTCCTCGGCCTGCAGTCCAAACCTTCGATGCTTCACTTTCACCAGAGGGAATGTCAGCCGTTTCCCTCCTGCCAGGTAGGATCTGGAGCCCTGGCTGGGGCTGTCCTGAGTGTCTGCTGGAAGTAGACAGGAAGAGACTCAGCTCTTGCCTTCTTTAATTGAGAATGCTAATAACATTGCTAATATTTACTGAGTGCTTATACATGCTAGCCATTTTTCTAAGTGCTGTACATATGTTATCTTCTTTTGTTCTGTTAATAGCCCTCACAGGTAATATTATTCCTTTTCACATTTGAGGAAACTAAGCTTCAGAGAAGTTAAGGCCCTTGTTTACTTTAGGTCCCTTAGACAGTAAGTGGTACAGGTAGTATTTAGACTTAAGTAGTCTAACACTAGAACCTAGACTTTGAACCTATTCTGATCTGCCACCTCTTACTTGAGCATTTACTAACACTGTCCAGTTAAAATGTGTGTTACTTACAACTGCTTTCTCATTTTCCCTCATATCCACCCATCAAATTGGGCAGGACAAGTAACCTCATGGTACTAAAGAAGAAGTGGGACTTGCCTAGGAAATAGGGCTTGCCTAGGGGCACAGAATTAGTACAAGACCAGTAAAAAGAAAGTAAAACTTCTCGTCTTATGATTCAATACTCAGATGTATATGAAGTTGAATGAGAAAAGACTCTGTAAATCAAATGCTAAATATGTGCTTTACATATTGAGAAAAGGAGAGATCTAACAGCTAGTTATAGAATGTGGAATTGATGTTTGATGGATTGATTTGTTCAACAAATTTTTATTGTATACCAAATGCCAGCCATTCTTAAGTGCCTGGGTTACAGGTGCACAAGCCCTCATGGAGCTTACAGTTTAGTGAGGAAGACAGCTGTTAAAAAAACTATTCATCCTGGCTGGCATAGCTCAGTGGATTGAGCGCAGGCTGCGAACCAAAGCATCGCAGGTTCAATTCCCAGTCAGGGCACATGCCTGGGTTGCAGGCCACGGCCCCCAGCAACCGCACATTGAAGTTTCTCTCTCTCTCTTTCTCCCTCCCTTCCCTCTCTAAAAACAAATAAATAAAATCTTTAACAAAAAACAAAACAAAACAAAAAAAACTATTCATGAGGGGATATAACCTAGTCTTTTGAGGATGTGAAATTTAAGCTAAGACCTGAAAACTGAGTAAGAGTTAAAGCTGGTGGTGTGAGGATGGGATAGGGGTAAGGGGCTAAATATGAGGCTCCAGAAGCAGACAGGAGCCAGATTATAAAGGCATTAGAGGCCATATGGAATTTTAGACTTTTTCTCTAAGGGTAAGAGGTAACCCTGAAAGATTTTAAGCTGGGGAATGATATGACTAGATTTGAATTTTTAAAATATTCTGGCTGCTGTGTGGAAAACATATTGGAGAGGGGCAAGGCTAGAAATGGGCTAGAAATTTTTAGGAGGCTTCTGCAATAGTCCTAACAACTGGCTTGAAGGAAGCCTGTATGCCTAAGAATAGTAAGGGAAGAGGCTGGAAAAGTATATGGGGGCCATATGTGGGAATCTTGAATGCCAGGAGCTTGAAGGTTGGGGGAAGGGGATTTTTTTCTGGTGGCCCAGAGTTGTTTAAAAATAGCTGGAGTTGCCAGGGTTGGGTGGCTTCATACCATGTGCTCTTTAGTACATGTTGCTGTAAATTGAGATCTGTTTTAGAAAGGGTTTCTGAGTAGGGGAAAGACAATAATGCACAGTGGTTATAAGCATAGGCTTTGTAGTCAAGAAAACCTAGAGTTGGATCCTGCCTTCATCACTTAGTAGACATGTAGCATTGGATAATTGGGCCTTGCTTTCCTTATCTGCAAAATGATGGCAGTGGTAGCTGACACTATAGTGTACTGTGTGTCAGCCACTGTTCTAAGCATTTGACTTACATTGATTTCTTTAATCCTTACAATAAAGCTATCTGGTGGGTACTGTCTTTACAGATGAGGATACTGAGGCAGAGAGAAGTTGAGTAATTTGTCGAGGTCACACAACTAATGAGCAACTGGGCTGTATTTGAGATCCAGGCAGACTGACTCTGGAATTCGGATTCTCCTGCCTGGTAGGGTTGTGGTGAGGATTAAATGAAATGATGCATGTAAAATACCTAGTATAAATACCTCCAATTTATCACTCATAAATACTGTATCTTACTATTTATATTAATTTCATTGAAGCAGTGTTTCAGGAAGATCATTTTAGTCGCTGTGGGGGAAGGCAGATAGATTGGAGCAGGTTTCGGGACCAATTTGGAGGCATTGGCTTTAGGCAGAACCACGGAGTGAATAAGAACCATGTAGTTTCCTAAGTTGTCTGAGGTGCTTGCCTGCTACTCAAGAAAGACACCTTGAGAGTAGTTGGGGAAGCAACCCCTAAATGTCTGGGATTTTTTTTTCTTCTTGTCTTGTTGGGCTCCCTGTATGTAAGTCAAGAGGATCTTAACCATTCAGGAATTCAAGGATATGTTTATTCAGGGAGTCCAGGAACCTCCTGAAATTGTCTGAAAAGTTGTGCTTTGAAATCCACTGTAGCTTTTAGCACATTCTCAAAACTGTCTGTGAACTAAAAAAAAAAAAAAAAAAGAAGTTAAGGCATGATGGCTCCAAGAGAAAGGAACTTGAGGAGAGTGGGCTTTGTGGGTCAGTGCTGATGTGATAGCAGTTTAATGCTTTTCTTCTCATTCTCCTTTGTGAGGCATGAGGCACATAGTTTCACAGACAGTCCAAGCATGATTTAATTTTGAAAATATCCCCTCATAGCCTGAGCCCATTTCTGAATGCTGGAGGTGTCACAGCTTCACAACCAGAGATGCGGCTCTTGTAGATGACCCACAGTGGTGCGATCTATGTCTTATGTTTTGTCATCTCTTTCTCCCAGAGCCTTCCTGTTAGGGCAGCAAGGAACAGGTTTCTGTCTCCTTGAGTCTGACTCCAGTGGCTCTCCATGGTGAGCTGTGTCTCAGGCAGGGGGATGGAGGATGGGAGATGGGGAATGGCTGTACCGCCAGTTGACCTTTTTGGGGGGTCTGGCAATGAGGAGTCCTTCTGTGACCATTAGGTTCTTGTCTGTTGCCCCTCTCTCTACCATACCACTGCTGCCTCTCTTCATGCCTTGTTGGCTCTTACTTGGACTCTTGTAAGAGCCTTCTCACTAGTATCTCTAAATTTGTTCTTTCTAGAGCACCTAGCTTTCTAAAACTTCAGATCATATCATTTTCCTGGAACTTCTGGTTAATATCTGTAGGCAGATATTAACTCCTTAGCAAAGGGCTTAAGACCATTTCCAACCTGGCCTTTATCTGCTTTCCAGCCTCAATCTTATCACCTTGTATTTATTTTTTATATAATTTTTTATTGATTGATTTGAGAGAGAGGAAGGGGGAGAGAAAAAGAAAGAGAGAAAGAGAGAGAGAGAGAGTTGTCTCACTTATTTTATTCATTCATTGGTTGATTCTTGTATGTGCCATGACTGGGGATTGAACACACAACCTTTGCATATCAAGATGATGCTCTAACCAACCAAGCTACCTGGCTAGGGCCATGCATCTTACATTTCTACCACACCAGATTATCACTATTTCTGGAAGAATCTATGAGTTTGCATGCTGCTCTTCCTTTGCTTCTTTTTTCTTCTGCTTGGAATGCTTCTCTTCATTTTTTCTTTAATTCTTTTTTATGTATTGTTATTTTTTATTATTTTTTTTTACTTTTTTATTGAATCTATTGGGGTGATATTGGTTAATAAAAGTATATAGGTTTCAGGTGTACAATTCTATAATACATCATCTGTATATTGTATTGTGTATTTGCTACCCCAAGTCAAGTCTCCTATCCGTTTTTTTTTTTCTTTATTTTATTTTTTACCTAATGAAGGCCTTTTCCTTCATCAGACCTGACTCAGGTCTCTGGCAGGCATAATTGATAGCACTCTTTTCTGAATCCACAAATGTTTGTATCTCAATATGTAACCCAATAAAACTGGATTCCTACTGTATGCCAGTCACTGTTTCAGGTGTTGGGGATGTTACGATGAAAAAATCAGGAAAAATCCCTGCCTCATTCTAATAGAGAGAAATAGAGGGGAAACACACACACACACACACACACACACACACACACACACAAAATGAATAGTAAGTGCTTTACTATTTTTTTGTAAGTGCTTTAAAGAAAAAAGAAAAATAATGCAAGATAGAGTGATAGAAGGTGATAAGAGTAGGTGGCTTCTATTTTTAGATAGTCAGGGAATGCCAATGCCTCTCTGAGGAGGTACTTCTGAGGAGAAGCCTGATGGAGTGAGGAAACAAATGAGGGATAGTTGGAGAAAGAGTATGGTAGGCAGAAGGTACAATGACCAAAAAGCCTGAGACAGGAGCAGGCATGCTTAATTAAGGAATAGCAAAATGGCTAGTGGAGCTGGATTAGAGTGAATTGGTTTCACTCTATATGTTTTAAAAGGATTACTCTGGCTGTGGCTGGTGTGGCTCAGTGGATTGAGCACTGGCCTGCAAAGGGAAAGGTCACTGGTTCCATTCCAGCGGTCAGGACAAATGCCTGGGTTGCAGGGCACGTCTCTAGTTGGGGGCTTAGGAGAAGCAACCAATCAATATTTTTCTCCCTCCCTTCCCTTCTCTCTGAAAATAAATAAAATCTTAAAAAAAAAAAAGGCCCTGGTTTGGGTGGCTCAGTGGATTGAGTGCCAGCTTATGAAGCAAGAGGTCACTGGTTCTGTTCCAAGTCAGTGCACATGTCTGGGGTGAGGGCCAGGTCCTCAGTAGTGGGCGCACAAAAGGTAATCACACATTGATGCTTCTCTCCCTCTCTCCCTCACTTCCCCTCTCTCTAAAAATAAATACATAAAATCTTTAAAAAAAAAGGATTACTCTGATTATTGTGTAGGTGAATGGGCGAGTGAGTAAATAAATGAATGTGGGTCTGAGAAATGAGTTTTTGCTGAGTAGAACTCAGTAGGCCCTGAGGGCATGGACTTGGTGATCTTGACTCTCAGTGAGTCTTCCGACTTGGAATCTGATGATAAGGTGTTCTCTCTTCTAGGCTTGGCAGCCTGGGTGTCATGGACTACTACCTGATGGACGCTGCCTCCTTGCTGCCTGTCCTGGCCCTTGGCCTGCAGCCTGGAGACACAGTGCTTGACCTATGTGCAGCCCCCGGGGGAAAGACACTAGCATTGCTTCAGACTGGCTGTTGCCGTAAGTCAGAGTGCTGGTGTTTGGGGTGGGACGGCTTCCTACCTCACTCAATCAGGGACACACTGAATATGATTTCTGTGGTCCCAAGGTTGGAGTGGGGACAGTGCTTGCTTACTAAACTGGTGTATTTTTTCTATTGGTGATTATTTCCTCTATTTCTCTGTCACTTGACCAAGGAAGATTGCTGAGCAGAGTAAGGTCTCGGAAGGCAGATTAAAGTAGCACCCTGGTCAATCTACCACATGATACTTTCACTCTTTTTCATCTGTTTACTTTGTCTCTAAGATTAAGTTCCATTTCCTTAGCCTGCCAGCTAAAGCAATAAAATCTGGCTGCAGGGACCCTTTATAGCTTTATATGTTATTCTTCCCCAGGCTTTATGTGCTTCAGCCATAGCCTGCTACTCTCTATTGCCCAAATTAGCCTCCCCCTTTTTTTCCTCATTTGTTTTCTCTCTAGAATATTCCTACCCAATCGCAGCTGGCTTGTTTACATCCTTTTAACTTCCAAGCCTTAGCTCAAGAGTGCCACCTCCTGGAAGCCTTCCTTCATGATCTCTACTGAGATCAGTTGAGAAATGCGTCTGTCTCCTTTGTGCCCAACCATGGGCATCAATCACTCTTGCAATTGTTAGCACATTATTAGCCTTGCATCAGATCTCTACTGGGTATGCATCTTCTCCCTCTTCAAGATTGTGAATTCCTTGAGGACAGGCCCAAGGCTTACCATTTTAGTAGTGTAGTTCCTCCCTCTTATTTTCTGGAGGGGGAAGTTGAGCCTTGGAGAGATTAAATAACTTAAATCTTTTATGTAAGTTGAAGGTAGAGCCAGAACTGGACCCAAATTCTCTGTTTTCAGTTCATATCTAACTGCAAATTCCTCTTGAATGTAGAGTCCAATTTTTACTTCCTTGAGTGTCCTCAAAACCTGGGATCATATTTCTTTGGGAACACTAAACTGGCTTATAGTAGCGATCATTCCCACTAAATAAGGTATGTATTGTGTAGTTTTTGACCACACTTCCCACCTCCATTTTGCTTCTTGACTCTAAGGCCAGGTATCAATTGCCATTTACCATGAAGCTTGCAGTAATATTTTTTTGATTGTAGACCTAAGAGCAAAGTGAAATATTTCTTGAACTTGTGTCTGTTACAAAAGGGAAAATGAAAGATAGATGGTAAATCAATAAGGATTAGATTTTCATTATATACAATAAAAAGCTCAAAGAACTGGCTTAAAGATGAAAAGCTTTGCCCTGGCTAGCATAGCTCAGTGGATTGAGCATGGGCTGCGAACCAAAGCATCACAGGTTCGATTCCCAGTCAGGGCGCATGCCTGGGTTGCAGGCCATGGCCCCCAGCAACTGCAGATTGAAGTTTCTCTCTCTCTTTCTCCCTCCCTTCCCTCTCTAAAAATAAATAAATAAAATCTTTAAAAAAAAGAGGAAAAGCTTCTTTCTTTCTTACATGAAAGGAACTGGGATATAAGCAGTTGAGGGCTGGTATGGAGCCTCCATAATCGTCAGGGACTTGAGCACTTTCTTTTCTTTTTGCAACCTTTGCTTGTGGGGTGTTTCACTAGGCCATGGCCTCTGAAATTTCTTTATTTCCACAGGCATAAAGTGTCTGTACTACCCAAAGCCATCTATAGATTCATTGCAATCCCTATCAAGATTCCAACGGCATTTTAAATTTATTTTTTATTTTTAAAAATATTTTATTTATTTATTTTTAGAGAGAGGGGAGGGGAGGGAGAAAGAGGGAAGGGAGAGACGTTGACCAGTTGCCTTTCTCATGCCCCCAGCTGGGGTCCTGGCCTGCAACCCAGGCATGTGCCCTGACTGGGAATCGAACCAGTGACCTTTCAGTTTGCAGATCGGCACTCAGTCTACTGAGCCACACCAGCTAGGGCCCGATGGCATTTTTTTTACAGAAGTAAGGAAACAATCCTAAAATTTATATTTCCACAGGCAATCTTGCTGCCAATGATCTCTCCACTTCCCGAACAGGCAGACTTCAGAAGGTCCTTCACAGCTACGTACCTCAAGATATTAGAGATAAGAGTCGAGTTCGAGTCACCTCATTGGATGGCAGGAAGTGGGGAGAACTGGAGGGGGACACCTATGATCGGGTGAGTGATTCCTGGCCTGGGACATCCAGCCAGGCAAATCTGTCCTTCTCCTGACTCCAGGCACTGAGGCAGTAGGATTAAGCTACATGTTTGAACATGTGGCGCTCTTTCTGGCCCTGGCCAGCTCTCCATGGAGATTTGGAGAAAACAGTCATCTGCAGAAATGTCAGTTTAGCTTGGATGACTGGCTACTACTATCTTCACTAGAGACAGCAAAAAGAGTTTGAGTCTGAGTATAAAAAAAGTTTGTTAGGCTTATTTTATTTCTCAACTTAATTTGTTGCTTAGAAACCCTCATTTATTTTAATGATATGAATAAACTCTTTATTTTTGAATATTAGTATTCAAAATAATATTCAAATTGGTACAAAATTCAGAAGGCACAAAATGGTATCTGGTGAAAAGTACATTTCCTTTTTATTCCTGTTTCACAACCATCTACCTCCTTTTTCTACAGATGACCATTGCTTATATTTTCTTCTTTATCCTTGAAAATATATTCTTCATGTATATACAAATATAAATGTGTGTGTATTAAAAAATAGGAATGGTAGTATATTATACTCACTACTCTGAATTTGTTTTTTTTCCACTTAATAATGTACCCTGAGATTCAGTCCTTTTTAGTTTTATGTTTTTGAAGTATAACTGCTAGATAACAGTTATATGCATTTAAGATTAAATCACTCACTGTGGAGGTTAAATCAGTTTCAATTCTGCTAATGAATAAGAGTACCATTTCCTCATATTCTGCCACCGTTGGTGTTGTCGGAGTTTTTGTTTTTTTGCCAAACTGATAGCATCTAATTTACATTCTATTATTATGAATAATGTTGAAAGTAATTTCATATTTTAAAGTTATTTGTATTTTAATTAGCTCATTCTACAAATATTTATTGAAAACATATACTTCTAAAAAAGAAAAACCTTTATACAAAAAAATATACTTCTAAAGATATAAAAATATATAGCTGTTGTTTTTGTGTTGTCATCTGACTCATTTACCTAATCTGTTCTCATTGGTCTGCCTCACCCACTCTAAGAAATTGAAAGAAAGACCAAGGCGTATAGCATCTTGGATTATTGTGAGAGACCTGCTTCTTCCTACTTGGGTAGAAATGCCCTATTCAGCTTTTTTGATAGGGAGGCAGCAGAACACAGGGCGAGTGTGTGACTCCTGCCATCAGGCTAACCTGTTTACCGTATGTATCACAGGGCGGCCACGCATTCATCTCGGGAATGCTTGTTGATGTTGCTGAACTTCAGCCTCTTCATTTGTAAGACAGGGAACACCACTATGTACTGTTGTTATGAGGATTCAGTGAGAGTATTCAGGGAAAGTCCTTAGCCCTGGACCTGGCCATGAAGATTAGGCAGATAGTAGCCATTGTTATTCACACATTGTTCTCACATGCTTCCATTGACGGGACTCACTAAGGTTCTGTGATTGCACACCTCTGATATTAGAAAGTTCTTCCTATTGAATTAAAATCTGTAGATTGTATGGTATATGGTTGACTACTAGGATTCTCGAGTCAAACTGTTGGATTGGCATCCTGGCTCCATCACTTACCAGCAAGTTACCAGGAGAAATTTGGGCAAGTTAACCTTTCAGTTAAACTTCAGCTTCTTCATCTTTTATATGGTGATGATGATAATATTAGTGCATACTTCATAAGTGAAGATTAAATAAGAATGCATTTAACACAGTTCCTGGCATAGAAAGTACTTAATATTGTCATTGTCACAATTCTTTTTTAAAAAAAGATTTTATTTATTTTTAGACAGAAGTGTAGGGAGGTAGAAAGAGAGGGAGAGAAACATCAATGTGTGGTTGCCTCTCACCTGCCCCCTACTGGGGACCTGGCCCAAAACCCAGGCACGAACCCTAGAGTGGGAATCAAACCCCCGACCCTTTGATTTGCAGACTGGCACTCAACCACTGAACCACACCAGCCAGAGCTCAGCATTATTTCTTTTATTCTGTAGGTTCTGTGTCAACTTATGCAGCCTAGTACTACATCAAAATATTGAACATTTGAGTTGTTAATTTACTTGGAGTTTCTGTTTAACTAAAAATTCATACATCTTAGATGATTTTACTTTTTTGAAACATAAATATAGGACAGTTAAAATATTTTTTTTTGTTTTTGTTTCTAGTGCCTAGCCCAAATTAGGCTCTTAGTAAATGAATGATTTTACATTTCTTTAAAAAAAATAATTTAAGAACTTTATTAACAGGTGCTTGCAGTTTGTTGACTTTTTTGAAAAAATCAAGTTGTAAACTTTTATTACAAATTAAAAATGAGGTTCTTAAAAATGTCAACTTGACCAGGTATGAAACAATTTAAAAACCTTTAAAGGTGTATTGAGAGAACAGGCTTATTTCAAAAAAAAAAAAACAACAACAAAAAACATGTTTGTCATTATATCTTTAGATAAAAATAATAAAAACCCAGTGCTGCATAGATAAGGCAGATAGTTCTAGTCATCTGGTCAACGGGCAAAAAGCAAGCACTTAAGGTCTTCAGCTCCAATCTTTTGTTCATTTCTTATTGCTGGAATTTCATATTCATTTCTTCTTGTTGGATGGCTAAGCTGATGATGGTAGAGATGGTAAGCCAGCATCTCTCAGCTCCTCCCTGCTCAGCCTTGGGAGCTGATGAATTCTGAGCTGGTGGATCAGCTGCTTTTTGTCTCTTTGCCATCTTGTGTTTTAGGGTTTTCTGGGTGTCTGTGTTGGTAATTGAAGTTGTGGCGGTACAGACGTTGAGGTGGCTGCTGACCTTAGGTCTCATATCCTTGATTTTCCTTATCTTGTTCATTGACATCCTCTCCAGGCTGCCTTTGGCAAGGAAGGCCCCTGCAAAATCATGGTCTGTAGCCCCGATACATATTGTGTCTCACTGGTCTACCTTGTTCTCCAGTGCCCTGGTTGTCAGCACCTCCATCACTTCTCCCTGCACAGGAGGGTTGGAATATTGTGGCCCACGCCCATAGGGTCTCCTCATGTAGTAAGGTGGGAGCCATTTCCTGCGGTAGGGCTGGCGCCCTTGGGCCTGGCCCTCAGGAGCACTCGCTGATCCCTCATTCTTTTCCCCACTCTTACTCTTCTGGTAATTCCCCTGGTAATTGTGTGGAGGACCCCTACGACATGGATAGCGTCTGTAATGGTTACGGTCTGCTGTGTATTTACTACCTTGCCCTGGAGCTCCACCAGGGCCTGTAAAGTATGCTGTCTCTGCACCCTTTTCTCCTTCAGCAACATCAAACGGCGCAGTCTCTCCATCTCCTACACTGCAAAGGTACTTCCTGGGGTTATTTTTCTTTATGGCAGTCTGGTGTCCAAATACATCTTTTTTGGTGTCATTCCTGTTTATGAAACCATATCCGTTTCTTACATTTGAACCATTTTACTGTTCCCAAAACCTTTGTTGCAGTGACCTTCTTGTCCCAGATGGCAGGTGCCACCAATGTGAGGCTGCCTGGGCCACCACTCCCTGTGCCGCTGCCCACGGTGTGTCGGTGCTGGTGCCAGCAGCAGTGCTGAGGTTGGGGGCCACAGGCGGCTGCTGGATCTCGGCCTCACTGCTCCTGGTGCGGTGATGGTGATTGAGGCCGGCTGCAGCGGTGGGGCTGGCTGCTCAGGGCAATCTGGGGTCCACTCTCCGTTCCCACTACCGATGGAACTCCAATTTTACATTTCTTACTTTAAAACTTTTCCATATTGGATATGACATTATCTTAGCATAGATATTTTAAATCCTGATCCTGTTTTTCAGTTCATTACCTACTCTCTGGGCATAGTATGATCTGTAAATTAGATGTTTTTATTCAAATAGCCAAGGACCAAACCAAGGACAGAGGTTTGAAGCACAGAAGACTTCTTCCTAGGTTGATATCAATTATTTAATTATAGTTCTTCATGTGTTAGTTCTAGTTTTTGACCAGCCATGAATATCCCTACACATACTATTTTCCCACTCATTATTTCAAAGTTGTCTACCAGGTTCAGGTGAGCAGCTTTGTCAGGTACTCTATAATGGAGGGATGGGCAGAGGGACCTCTCTGTAGAACCCCCAGGTCAGGGGCCTAAAACATTCCTGGCCTCAGGAAGAGGAGCCTGGAAAGAGCTCTGATACTTTACCCTTTAACACTTCTGTGCAGGTGCTGGTGGATGTACCCTGTACCACAGACCGCCACTCCCTTCATGAGGAGGAGAACAACATTTTTCAGCGGTCGAGGAAGAAGGAGCGGCAGATGTTACCTATGCTGCAGGTGCAGCTTCTTGCGTGAGTGATAGATTCACAAAAACCCAGAACTTTATTCCAGAGTGCTCTGGGGGTCTGTTCACCTGGGGGACTGGAAGCCCTTGCCAAGACCATTACCCATAGAAGGGTCTTCTGGCTGAGGATCTGCCTGGATGAGACAAACATCATGGGATGCTCCTTCTCTAGAACATAAAAACCCTGTGTGGTAAGACATTCACAGAGGGGTGAGCTGCACAGATTTACTTATGTTCACTTACTTGCATGCTCGTCCCAGTCCCAGTAAGTAGCACAAGTTTGAAAAATAGTTGCTGAGGTCAAGGTTCTATAGGGCTGGGGTAAGAACTCAATCCATAGGGTTGAGCATCAACCCTAGGATTCAGGGTCTGATTCGAAACTATTGCCAGAGCTCAGGGGATCATTTTGAGGAGGCTTCTACAGAGAGCCCATGGAGTAAAGTTGGCTTGCTCTTTGCCTTGAGAATGACTTTTCATTGTGGAAGGGACTTCAAAGGTTGTCAATACAGCTACCATCCCACAATAGAGACTTTCATGTTATGTTTCCAGTTCCTTTGTTACCCTCTTACTTCTGGGAAACCCACTAGTCACTGTTGCTGTCCCTTTCTGGTTTCAGGGCTGGACTCCTTGCCACCAAACCCGGAGGCTACGTTGTTTATTCCACCTGCTCACTCTCACACTTACAGAATGAGTATGTGGTGCAAGGCACCATCGAACTCCTGGCCAATCAATATAGCATCGACGTTCGTGTGGAAGACCTGACTCATTTTCGAAAGCTTTTCATGGACACATTCTCTTTTTTCCCATCCTGCCAGGTTGGGGAGCTGGTAATCCCAAACCTCATGGCCAATTTTGGGCCTATATACTTTTGCAAAATGTGTAGACTGAAATAGCATCACCGTGTTCCTGAAACCCTGGTGTAGGAGACAAATGGTGTACTCCCATGGCAGCACCAGAAACTGAGACCAGTGGCAAAGATGATCTTTGGGTCCTATCTCCAAGCTGTCCAAGTCTTTCTATAGATAGTTTTTAGCACTAGGAAGTAGGAGTTTTTCTATCCTGCTATCCAAGTGTGGAGCATTAGCAAGTTTCTAACTCACTTATTACACCCTGCTCCTTTATTCCCATCTCTAAGCTTGTACTAAACTTTCCTGCCCAATTGGGGGCTTAGAAGAAGGAGACAATGAGCGGGCCCACGCTTTAAACTGTAAACTTGGGAAGAAGCATTTAGCCAATAAAATTGTCAAAGCTCCATAGAACTAAGGCTGTGGTTGGGGGCCTCGTATTAGCCCAGGTACTGTTCTACTTGTACCAGCTGCTGCTACTGACCACTAACTCCCAAGGTGCCCAATGCCCAGGACCTCAGCCTGGTTTTCAGAGCCCATCTTACACTTAAGGTGAGTTTTGCATGACCAGTCTTGAGTCATCTGGTGGGCCCAAACAAGGCTACCTAGTTACTCCATATGGCTTATGATCTAATTTAAGGAACAAGTAACTAAAAATGTTAAGCCATTGCATAATAATCTGCTTACTTACATTGAGAAAGCTCTCCTGAGCCAAATAATTCCAGCTATTCCTACTGTCATCAACAGTACTGCTGCCCATTGTAGCTGGGGAAGCTGCTCTGCCACAGGGCTGTGATGTTCTTTTGTGTGTTTCTTTATTGTTTATTCCTGTAGCTCCTATGACAGGTAGTCAGGGAGCTGCAGGAGATGTAGCATTTGGGATTGTGGAGGATAATGAGGCCTCATCCTTGGGAATGGCAGCTCTCCTTCTTTGCTTTCTGAGCACCTAGGAATCTCCTAATGTCTTGATTTATTCTGTTTTTGTTTTGTTTTGTTTCCTTTTTCCTGGGCTGTGGCCGAGCTCTGCTGGCAGTTGTTTGGCACATGCCAAATCACCCAAACCTCTTCCTCTAGCATTGTAAGGCCTCACCTCACGTAGTGTGGGTTTGGGAGCAACATTACATCATTTACTATTTGCATGCTAATTATGTTGTTTTTGTAACTATAGAAGGGATATTAAAAATTGCTTGTGGTCACTTGCAGATACTGCTTTTTTTATTAATTTTTTTTTCTGAAAGACTGGTCCTTGTGCAGAAAAAGGTGCATAATTTAAGAATACTGATATTCTTGGCTCTTCCTACTTGCCTTATCCCTTCTCTTCCTCTTCTGTCTCCTCCTTTGTTCTTTATGCCCTTCCTGCTAATTTTTGTTTGGGTATTAGAGGTGTCAACTGAGAAGGATTTTAGATGAGGTTAAGCCTTCTCCTTTCTTGGGATTTGCATTATAACAGGTCCCTGGAACACCTTCCACATTCAAAATCCTAGTGAAGCTAGTAAGGTGGAGCTCCAGGGAGTAGGAACATAATTAGCTTCTTGTGTAGTATGTGCTTTCTTCCTGCTGTTTACTCTAGTGCTTGGGCTTCTGCCTTTGGCCTCATGGGTATGCAGGCTGGTGCTAATCATGTACTCAACAGTGATAATCGAAGGGGAGAGGGTCTCCTGCTTCTAGGGTCCCAGTCGCACTGGGGACAGACAGACCCAGGTTAAAAAAGCAGAGTAGTACTTTGAAAAAAGTTTATCTCCTGTAGTTTAATATTTGCCTACTCTACAACCCAGTTATTCCAATACTTGGGATAAATCCAAGAGAAATTCATATATGTACAGCAGGAGATATGTGTAAGAATGTTCATAGAGCAGCCCTGGTCTCAGAAGCAAACCCAAATGCCCATGAGCAAGAGTGGACAAATAAACTGGAGTTCACACAAGGGAATATTATACAGCTGTCAAAACAAATGAACTCCAGTGACACATAACAATATGGATGAATCTTAGCAATAAAATGTAAAAAATTTTAGTCACAAAAAATTAAATGTAACATTATGCCCTTAAACTATTTACATAAAATATAATTGGTTGATTTTAAATGTGCTGCTTAATGACTTTTGGTAATTGTGTATAACAGTGTAACTACCATCACCATCAAAATATAGAAAATAATTTCTTTTCCTAAAAACTTACCTTGTGCTCCTTTACATTGAATCCCCTTCCACCATTTATGGTTCCAGGTAATCACTGATCTGCTTTCTATCACTATAGTTTCACCTTTGTTACTGGACTAAAGGGGTCAAATTTTCCTGCGCACAGCAAAGCCCAATAAGACACGAACAGGAGTTTGTAGCCAGGAAAGTAAGGCCCTATTAAGGAGATGACGCCATGACTGAAGGCAGAGGTAGCTCATGCTCAAAGACCTGGCTCCCTAATAGCTTCTAAGGGATGGGTTATATAGGGGGAAAATCATTAAGCATGGTGACTAAGGGCGTTAGGCACATGGTCAGGGTCATGGTCTACTGAATGGTCAACGCTAAGGTAGGGAGTAGTTGATCATTACATCTGGCCCTGACATCAGCCATGGCAAGGCATTGCTTCATCTGGTTTCTCAAGGATGTGGCCAGGGTGGGGGGTGTTGTTCTGGAGCTGAAACACAACTGAGGACTAGGTGTTTTCTCTAGTTTCACCAGAATTCTCTCTGTGGTCAAAAGATGCTGCTGACCAGAACCCCATTGTCCTGAGGGGCTTAATGATTAAGTAAGGGAGAAGGGAGGTGGGTGAGTCAGGGCACTAGGCGAGGCCAGTTTGAGTCAAAGGAAAAAAATAAAAATAAATGGGCAGATTAAAGAAAATAAGGTTCCTGCGTGGTTACACCTGTTGTAGAATTTTATATTGTAGAAGATAGAGAGTTGATTTACAGCTGCATTGCAAAACTCTCTTTATCTGGACATCTGGACTGGCCTAACTGGTTACATGTGTCTAGCTTGATTACGTGGCCAAAGTAGCATAAAACCCACCTAGGAACTTCTAATTTGAGCTCTCCCAAAGCCAAGAATCACAGATCAGTGATTCAATTAAAAAATAGAGTATTTTACTTCATGTCCTTGCCTAAAACTTGGCATTGTAAGTTTTCAGCTTTATTCTACAAGGTGTTTCTTGGTGTCTCATTGTGGTTTTAATTTCCATTTCTCTGATGACTAGTGATGTTATCAAGTTAAATACAACCAAAATTGGAAAACATTTTTAAAGAACATATATGCAGTAAAACTATGTAAAAAGGAAAAAAATGACCTCATGTGGGAAATGTTAATGGTTCCCTCAGGTAGGAGGATAGGATGGTCTGGAAGGAACATATAGTTAGATTAGGTATTGTGAAGGCTCTGCTTTCATATTCAGTACTTATTATATTATCAAAACAACTAAAATAGTAAAAACCTATGTATAAAAGTGTATTATGCAGGATGAAGGTGATAAAAGAATGTCATGAAAAAAGGTTATGCTTAATCCAGTTTTGTGCACCTGATATCAAAAAGGAGGTGGAAGAGATCCAGCTCTGCAGACGATAATAGAGCCAAATGTGGAAGGGGCCCCATCTAGAGACTGAGAAGCTTAGCAAAGTTGCCTCAGTCTTGCTCGTGAGTTCCTCTTTTGTTGTGACATACAGTGGCCCATCCTTAACAGAAGACCAGCCATGGGCCACAGTAGAGAGATAGCTTGGATCTGTGGTTTTCATTTTTGGGGAGTCACAAGTATGATTGACAGACTCGTGAAAGCTTTGGTCCTTTCTCAGGATAGTCCACACACAAAACACCACATTTTACACATAATCTCAGGGGATGGGGCACTCCCTAAGGTCCACCTGTATGTAAAACCTCAAGTTAAAAACTTGGATTAGAAGGTCTCAGAATTTCAGGGTCCTCAGTGGAAGGCAAGGGGGGCAAGCAGAGCCCCAGTAGCCAACTGAAGTCACCCATTCTCTCCCCCTGCCAAACGTTATCCCTTCTGCATTCCTCATTTCCAAACACAGTACCACCATCACCCTGCTGCTGAAGCCAGAAAGTGCAGTTACCCTCTTTGCCTAATTAACAATAGCAGTGACAGTAATTCCTGTTGCATATTGAAGACTTCCCTGAGCCAGGCCCATGCTAAGCATTGTTGTACAGGCATTGTATAGCTTCTTATCCTCACAAAAATCCCCCTTGAGAGATGGGTACTCTTTTTGGTTCTATTTTCTAGATAAGGATAGGATTAGCACTTAAGTAACTTTCAAAAAATTACAATCTGAAATTTCTTTATTGAAATATCTCTCATATCTTAGGACAGGCCTCACTTTTCACTGAACAATGACAATAGCCTCAAAACTGGTTTCTCCAAATCCTTCCATTTTCTCCCATATTCTTGAGCCACCCCTTACCTGTTGTATGGTAGCTGACCACAATTCTTTGCACCCTGTCCCAATGCAATGAGACCTTGCCATTTCCCTCATTGAGAAACAGAGCTAATTTCCCCACCCTTAAATCTGGGCTGACTTTATGATTTGCTTTGACCAGTTAAATGTTCCTGGTTGCTTGTTTGGAAACACACCAACCACACCTCACCTTAAGTTGTTTTCCTCAACCTGTTTCAGCCCAGGCACTTTTTGGATATGTTGTACACAAAATGTTAGGTTTTCTCTATTTATTTGAAACTGTGGGGTAAGTTTCTTCACCATTCTACACCTGAATTTCCTCATCTGTAAAATGGGAATTTTGTGTTACCTCATTGGTTATTAAATGAGTTAATGTCTGTAAAGTGTTTAGAACAACACCTGACATAGCACGTGCTACATAAAACAAAATAATAAGATAAAATGGTGTGACTAAAAATGAGCCATAGTAATAGCAACTTTATTAGGGCAACATTTTAATTTTGATCCTGAGAGGCACTTATTTTTCACTTGGATCTGGTGACATTAGTACAGGTGTGGAGTCAGCTTGTGTGCCATAAGCTCTTCTCTCCAAAAAAGGTGTAGGAGACAACATCTTACAGGTGGCAAACCAATTTTTGAAAACTGATGTGCAGAAAAACACATGCTTCCCTTCTTGAGAAGCACTGGTAGGATATTATTATATACTTACCTCATATTTCACAGAATATATTTTTGGCAAGTTGTATATAAAACAAATCCTACCATATATGTACATTATCTATTTAAAAAATATTTTTAATCCTCACCTGAGGATATGTTTATTTTTTGGAGAGGAAGAGGAGAGAGAGAGAAACAAACATTGATGTGAGAGAGAAGCATTGATTGGTTGCCTCCTGTACACACCCCACCCAGGGATCGAACCCACAACCTAGATATGTGCTCTGACCTGGGGATTGAACCTGCAACCTTTTGGTGTAGGAGACAATTCTCCAGCTAACTGAGCCACCCAGCCAGGGCATATCTCTGTTATTTAAGGAACTCATCTGGGGAATCATTGGGCAAAATGAAGATGGCTTTTGTAAAGCAAATCAGTATCTCTCTGAGGGGTATTCAAATTTTGACGTGAGAGGGACTGAATTTCTTTGTCTAAATCTACCTGCCATGGGTTGATTTCCCTCAGAGGACTCTGGTCCTCTCTCTTTCCAGTTAAATTTAGTGGAACCAATGTTTTGCAAGTCTAAGCTTAAGTCTTAAGAGGCCTTGCAACTTCCACTCTCACCTTGGAACTCTTTGTTTATTATTCTCTGAGTCTGTCGGTTTGACTGGTGGTTCTACTGAGTTCAGCTGGATTTGGCTAGGTTCACTGATGTATCTGCAATCAGGTGGCTCTGCTCAGCTTGGCTGGGCCCTCTCACCCATGTAAGGAAGAGTCTGAGCAGGGACAACTGGGCTGGGTAGGTTCCACTCTGCCTGGCCCCGTCCTCAGGCAGCATAGCTTAGACTTGTTCTCATGGCTGAGGCAGGGTTCCAGAGGCAGTTTTCTAGAAGAGAAAGAGAAAACAATTCTCTTACAGCCTAGGCTCAGAACTAGCACAACATTCCTTGTACTGCATTCTACTAGTGAAAGCAAGTCACAGCATTCAGCCCACATTTACAGGGGTGGGAAAATAGACTATACCTTCTGAAGTGAGAAGCTACAAGTTACTGTTTTTAAAACTATGTTTATTGATTTTAGAGAGAGAGGAAGGGAGAGAGAGAAACACTGACTGGTTCCCTCCTATACATGCCCTGATCGGGGATCAGACCCACAACTCTGCTGTATGGATGATGCTCCAATCAACTGAGCCACACTGGCAAGGGCCAAAATTATTTTGCAAAGAGCACAGATACAGGAAGAGGTGGAGTACTGGGATCATTTCTAGAGTTAACTTACCACAAGAGACAAACTCTCCCCTAACTCAGAGGCAGTAGGTGGCCTCTGAGGTGGCAGTGGGGCTTAGACAACTGGGGTCAAAGACCTGACAGTGCTTTGGAAATTACAAAGCGCCCCACGTAGAGTGGTTCTGAGTGTGGTGTCCTGCCTCACCTGTGGGACTCTGAGTTCCCTGGAGCAGGGCTGTGTCTCCCTCCTGACCACCCTTTCAGTACTAAGGAGAGGTTCACAGAAGTGAAAGGAAAAGAGAAGCAGAGCAGTTAATAAGAACAGAAGCACACACACTGTTGTTCTCTTGTCCCCAGAACAAAGACAGACTTCAAACCATCTGGAATCTGAGAAGCTCCCTTCTGCAAGTTTTCCTCCCACTCCTTACAGCCCTGCCCCCACTTCCAAGGGAACTTGGCAAGGTAGTACCTGTCTTTCCATTTGAGAGCACATTAGGATGACTTGCTCAGAGTCACCAGCCAATGTGGGAGGACCCCATCCTGCTCAAGGAATCCACTAGGCCTGCTTGAGGGGCCTTACCCTCACCACTGCGTGCAGGTACGTGCTGTTTGGGCTCACGATAGCCTGTGGTATTCACTTACAGATGCTTTCCTGATAATGCAGGAGCCCTGGAAAGCCATTCCCACTAGATCCTTGTATTATCCTGCTTCTCCATAGCCTCTGCCTCCAGCTTGCCTCTCCCAATCCTCCCCATTGCCTTCCCCAAAACACTGGTAGAATTGCATCACATCTCTGATTAAAATAGTGAGCTTATGTTTATTGAAACTTATTATGGTCCAGGTGCTATTCCAAGCTTTTAAAAATCTCTACAATTCTCTGAGGTAGTCACTATTTTTAGCCCCCATTTTGCAGATGAGGAAATTAAGGCACAACTGGTTGAAGTGATTTACTCAAGGTTATACATTAATTAAGTGGCAAAGTTAGTACTGGAACTCAGGTAGTCTGGCTCCTGAGCTAGGCTTCTTGGGCCAGAAAACCTCTCTCTGTAGATTTCTGTTTTTCTGATGATAATACAATGATTAACATGTGTGGTGGATTGCTTACTATCCCTGTAAGCAATCTCTTAGTAAGTAAGTATGGTAGGCGCTGTTCTGGCTGTGTTACATGTGTTAAGTCATTTGAGTCTTAGAGAATTGGGCTGTAACATTATTAATATATAATAATTATTCTCATTTTACAGTTAAGGAATTTGGGGCACAGTTACATAACAAAGATGGGTTACCGGACACTCCAGCTTCAGAGCCAAGTTTATTTGTAAACTGTGCTATGTGGTCTTGGCTGGTGTGGCTCAGTGGATTGAGCGCTGACCTATGGACCAAAAGGTTGCCATTTCAATTCCCGGTCAGGGCACATGCCTGGGTTGTGGGCCAGCTCCCCAGCTGGGGGAATGTAAAAGGCAACCAATCAATGTTTCTCTCACACATCAACATCTCTTTCACTCTCTTTCTCCCTCCTTTCTCCTCTCTCTTTAGAAATAAATAAAATCTTAAAAAAAATAAACTCTGTTATCTGGCTTCCCCAAGGCTCTTCAGCCCAATGTCCCAGTATCCAAGCCACCTTGGGTTCATGCAGCATGATCTCTGCATTTCCATCAAAGCATGTCTTTTGTTTCTTTCTCTATGCATGTCTTTTTTCTTCCCAACTAGACCTTAAGTTCCACAAGGCCAGATTTGAGATCTAGTACATGCCTCAATTCTCCAGCTCACAGCAGGAGTCAATAGATGTCTCTTGAATTAAACTATAGAATGCCAGAGGTGAACTGTCTTGGGACCTTCTCTCAGAAGAATGGAGTGACCACTCACTGTGACCTGAACATTAGACTCAATTTGTTACCGATTCAGGGTAACATGTTCAAGACATCAGAGTTCGGAGTAAGGAAAAGTTTATTCCTTTCCTGATAGAGAACGTGCCAGCTTAAGAAGATGGGGACTCTTAAAGCTTCCACAAATCCATATTCAGAGAGCTCAGAATTCAGGCTTCTTTTGTGTCAAGGGAAGGGACAATGAACAGAGCAAGAGGTATGTGACACTTAGCTGCCAATAGGGATCCAAATAAGAGTGAGAAATCTATAAATCTCTTTGTTCCTTGATCCTGACCCCTGCTGATCTGAGTCCTGTCTTGAGGCTTCTGAAAATCATTGCCAGAAGCTCAAGCCTCAAGCAGAAGTTTTCTAATAATTGGTATATCTATGGTGGGACCTATTCACTGAAGGTTATGGGAGAAATGCAGGCCAGAATTAAGATAGAATGAGAGAGAGTGAGTGTTTCATTCCCTCACAAGCCCAGGACTTGCTGTCTTGGCCTCAGTACCCCATCCAGATCCTCCATATCCTTTTGTAAATTAAATCCTGTTTAATATACCTCCAGGAAGTACTACTTAGAGAAACCATCATCACAGGAAACAAACAGAAGTGAATATTTTGTTAATGGAGTTCCTAAATTAACAAATTTTGGCCCAACTCCTGACAGGTTACCAACTTGGTGATTAATCCTCAGGAATGATCAGAGTTTCCCCATTACTATAACCTTATTTTCTCCTTCTTGAGAGGGAGAGGGGGTCAGAAAGAACGCTTCTTGTTTACAAAAGAGAAGATTGAATTACCCAAGGTCGCCCTCAAGGGATGTGTGAATCAAGGGCTAGAATCCCTTTATTCCATGAGGAGATCGGGTGAGATGACTTTGAAAGAGATTTAGATTAGAGTTTCCATCACCCTGCATCTGTCAGCTCTCTTCTAGAAAGACTGAGGTTCAGGGATTTGACACTTACAAAGGGCCATCAGTGTTTGAGTTGGAACTCAGCAGCATTCAACAGAGATTGCAGACTTAGAAACAGAAGGCCTTGGACCCCTCTGGAATTTGCTCAAGGGCCTTACAGTTACTCTAAAGGCCTTCAGGTCTAGACTCTTTAAATAACATTCAAGGCTTTCCACAGTGGGCCTTCCATTCTGTCACTAAACATTTATGGAGGGCCTACTGTGTGCCAGGCACCACTTGTAAAGGACCTTATAGACTCCTCCTAACAATCCTGCAAGGTAGGCATTATAACCGTTCCTTTTTTAAAGGTAAAGGCACAGATTCAGGGAGCCAAAGACAACTGGAGCAACTGCAGTGTTTCAGCAAATAGTGTTACGAGTCACAAGACACTTTCCTATACCCCTTTCTACAGGGCCTCATTTCCAGGGCCAGTAATGGTGGTACTGCCTCATGGGTAAGAGCGATGGTTTAGGATTAGGCCTGAGTTGGACGCCCCGCCCCTCTCAGTCACCTGCGTGACCCACAGAAGTCATTTAACCACTCTTGTCCTCTGGTACCTCATTTATAAATTGATAATAAAAATGCCTTCCTTATAGGTCTGTTGGGAGGACAAATGAGATAAAGCACATAAAGTCCCGTGAAAGAGGACTAGGTGGGAGAGGTGTGTGTGCATGTGTGTATGTGTGTATAATCTTCCACCCTCCTAATGAAGGGCAACGGGTCCCTAGACACCTTCTGGTCCTAGTCAGGTATTCCTTCTGCTTGCTGCGTGTGAACTCCAGGAGGACCCAGGACTGGAAAAAGATGACCTGGGAAGGTCAGTCTGCCGGGTGGTTAAGCAGGACAAGTGATGGATGGGCTGTCCATGCAGAAGAGCCCAGGGCCAGAGACACAGGATTCCTGGGTTGGATAATGAGGAGGAGACAGCAGGTGGGCTCCCCAGAGGAACTTCCTGGGCCGGTCCCAGGGCTGGCTCCCCGGAAGCCACTCGCTGGGGAGCGGTGGATGCCCTGTGGTGCCAGCTCTGACTCAAGGTTCTCCATAACAGATGCTGCTAAACAGTTTTCGGCGACTGATCTCTCTCCCAGTCCTCTTATCTGGCTTTTCCCTCAGGGGCGTCAGCTGTCTGCGTCTTCTGGGAGTTGGGGCTCTGGGGTCCCTGGGTTGAGGTCGGGACGAGGCCGAGCCCCGTGGGCCCGGCGGAGGCGCGGTGCCGAACAGCTGCTAACTAACGCTGGTGTTTCCGCGGACGCGCACAGGAAGCGGGTGCCCCTCTCGGCCCTCCAGCTCAGCCTAACTCTGTGCACGAGGACGCGGGGAGCGACTCCAGTTGGGCAGCTGGGCAGGACAGCCAGACCTTGACCGTTGCGCGCCGCCGGCCTCCGACCCGCTGCCTGGCAACGGCGCGCTCCCGGGAGGGGGTGCAGTGGTAGCGCAGCTCTCCTCCCGCTCCTCCGGTGCAGGCGGATCCATGCCGGGTTTTGCGGCGGAATCTAAGAGTGCTGGTTCTTCTGTCGCTCTTGGCAGCTCTCTGCAGCGGGAGATCATGGTGCTGAACGAACTGTGGGCTGCGTTCTCCGGTGCCTCCGGGGCTGCCGTGGCCTGCTGCTTCGTGGTGGCGGCCGTGGCCCTGCGCTGGTCCGGTGGCCGGACAGCGCGGGGTGCGGCGGCCCGGGCGCGACAGAAACAGCAAGCGGCCCTAGAAAGCATGGACAAGGCAGCGCAGCGCTTCCGGCTCCAGGTGACTGTCGGGGTCCAGGGGCGCAGGCTGGGACTACCCCCAGCAGCACTTTCAGGGGCCCCGACGTGCGCGGAGGGGCATGTGACGGGCAGCGCAGGTGTGTGGGCAGCGCAGGTTTGTAACTTTCCGAACCTATTCTTGCCCAAATGCGTTCAGTGCGCTTTCTGAACCAGGTGGGGCCAAGGGGAAGAAGGGAAACGAAAGAGATAGGTTAGGTCTTAGAAGGCCATCTGCACTGGGTCAAAGGAGGAGCTTTGGCCCTGGTCGAGTGGGTCAGTTGGTTGGAGCGTAGTCCAGTGGACCAAAAGGTTACAAGTTCGATTCCGGTCAGGGCATACATCTAAGTTGCAGGTTCGAACTCCTAGGAGCGCGTACAGGAGGCAATCTATGGGTGTTTCTCTTCCTCTTTCCCCTCCCCCTTCTCTCCCTCCCTCTCTCCCTTTCTCTAAAAATCAATGAAAATATATCCTCGGGTGAGGAGAAGGAAGGGAAGGGAGGGAGAGAGAGAGGGAAGGAGGGAAGGGAAGAAAGGAAGAAAACAAGAGGAACTCTGCTCCATGCCAAAGAATCTAAAGATCACTGACTATTAGAACGCTAAAACGCAGGCGTGAGAACCAATAGGATGCTAGGGTTAGGACTTTGAAATCATCGAGTGATTGCCAAGGGAATCCGAAGAGCTTACAGTTCAAACTCATTGTGCGTGAGGAACCTAAGAGGGGCCAGAGAGAGTTGTGCCCCAATGAGCCAGACCGGAATGGAAGTCTCCCCAGCACCTACGCTCAGGTTGTCATGGCCAACTCCTGACAAGCTCCCTCTACCAGCAGGTTTAGCTCCAGACCTTTCCCTGAGTGATCTGTCAGCAAGGTTTTCTCCTAGATCTGCTCAGTGTGTGTATGGGGCAGAGGAGGGTCCTAGAAGAGGGTTTTTTTTCCTCCAGTTACATGAGGCACTGGACTTGGTTAGAAATCAAAATGCTGAATTGTGGTAGTTGTCGTGTGTGCTGAGGGAGAAAACACTTGCTATGGGTGTTTGTGAGGGCATGTGTTCTGATAGGATTCCTGTCTGACAGGTAGGAAGGTCCAGGTGATGGAGGCAACAGGAGGCAGGAGGGTGTGCCTAGATGGCAGACTGGGGGGGAGTCACAGAAAATTGCTTTTAACAGATACTCAGATGCAGTGATTTTCGAGTTGGGGTTGAGCTGGAACTCGAACCTAGATGCCCAGTGGTGGTATCCAGCCTCATTCTGGTGGAGAGGTGTTAGGAAAGGAGACTGGACCTTGGATGCCAGCCAGACCCAGGGTGTGGCCTTGACTATGGTGAGGTTTTGGCTAGATGTAATGGGACGAATTTACTCCATATGATTCCTGGGCTAGCATAGATCTCATTTATTTGTTTATTGAGATCAAAATGTGTTTGGTTTCAGCTTCCACTCATCAAGCTGGCTGAAAAGTCTACCATCAGTCAATTTTTAGGGTTTCCTCCACCCTGATTGGGAGGCCCTGGTGTTCAATCCAGACTGGCCACTTCCCCTACTTGAGCACAGGTTCTCCACTGTGCAATTCTCCTTCTCTGCCTAGGTGCCCCACTTGGGGATCTGCTCAGCTGCTCCCAAGGCACCAAGTCCTTCTGTGCAGCCAGCTGAGTTCTGCCAGCTCCAGGCCCTGCAGTGAGACAGCTGTAGGAATCCACCCACAGTTGCTGCCCGCAGAACTCCCTTCCCAGTTGCAAAAAGCCCACCTGCTGGCAAGAGTGTGGGATGGAAGAAGGGTGGGTCTTCCCTCCCTTCAACTCCAAGCATCAGTATCTAGTTTCCCTTTGGAACTGCCACCTTTCATTAATTTTAAGAGTAGAATCCTCCAGGGCAGAAATTTTGACCCTGAAATGCAAAGAGCTGTTTACACACCTTGCCTGGGGCAAGAGAACTTGGCCTTAGAACCCCAAAGCTTGGCTCTTCCAGGAGGGGAAGCCAAGAAATTATCTTTCGGTTTTGCTAAGACTGGATAAGAAAGGGAGAGTTACCTCAGGAGTCTCATTGTTTTGAACGAGGAGCAAAGGGGTGGGATCTTGATGACAATAGTTTTGTAGGCCTTGGGAGCAGGTAGGAGTAGGCTGAACTGGACACCAGCCTGAACCTCCCTGACTCTAAGGCTCCCTCTCCTTGGCTCTGGAGTCACTGGATGACTGGCAGGTGTGGGCTTTGAAGCTGTCTTAGCAGCCTTTCTTTCCGGGCTTTCTCCACCTGGCCCTGAATAGCAAGGGACACTAAGGGAAGCAGGGCTCTGAGCAGGCCCTGGGAGATTACAGCAGCTTGTAATACAGCTCCTGCCTGATAGACTCTACACCAAGCTCAATGGGAGCCTAGATAGCTCCTGTATTCTCCCCTCATGTGTCGAAGGAGGGGAGAATCGTAGCATTGCCTGAATCATCACAAAACAGTTGTCTCTGTTTAGATCTAGAAAAACTGTAGAGCAAGGTGTGTTTTTAGTTAACTCTCTGTTGACCTTTTGAGTTTAACAACCTATAACAAACTCTTTGTTTTCCCCACCCTGCTTTCTAAATGAGTTTTGATATCCTTTCTAGATAGAAGAGATTGATAAAATTATGACAAAGACTTTAACCTTGACATAATGGGGAGGGCCTATGGGAGGAGCTAGGGGTTATGGGAGGAGTTCTGCCACTGTCTGTCATTGGATATCCCTATGAAGAACAGCCTTATGTTTATAACCGAGTTCTGTGATTGCAACAGCCCCTCCCTTTCACTTCTACTGCCTCTTTATTAAGTCTCTCCTCCATCTTTGTTTGGTTCAGTGAGCACATATGGTTTGTCAATTCTGCACACACTGGATTGCAATCCTTTCTTTTTCTTGCATAAACTCTTTTTTGGTGATGCAATACCTAGTTGATTCTGTTTTTCCAGTCTATAAGAGGGAGTACTATTAATAGAATATTATGGCTGGGAGAGATGTCACAGAACAACTGCTCATGCCTCTGTGCCTTTGCATTTGTAGTTTTTGCATTTGTGGGCTCAATGCCCTTTCCCCACATTTGTTACAGCTTGTTTTATCAAAATCCTACTGGTCTTACAAATGTCACTTCCCTCAATTGAATCTGACCTGTAGTTCCATCTCTTGGCCTTCTCCAAACCACCTTGAACCTGATTCAGTAGATGAATTGAAGGACAGTATGGTTTTTGTTGAGACCAGTGTCAGTAGCATATATGATCAAATGGAAGAGATATCTTTTTTAAGTATATTTTATTGAGTATCCTATTGTAGTTGTCTCATTTTTTCCTTCCCTTTATACCCCTCTGCCCTGCACCCCCCCTTCCCACAAGCATCCCCCCACCCCCACCTTAGTTCATGTCCATGGGTTGTACATATAAGTTCTTTGGCTTCTCCATTTCCTGTACTATTCTTAACCTCCCCCCACCCCCTATTTTGTACCTACTATTTATGCTTCTTATTCCCTGCATTTTTCTCCCACTCTACCCCACCCCTCCCGGCAGATTACCCTCCATGTGATCTCCATTTCTGTGATTCTGTTCCTGTTCTATTTGTTTGCTTAGTTTGTTTTTGTTTTAGGTTCAGTTGTTGATGGTTGTAAGTTTGTTGTCATTTTACTGTTCATATTTTTGATCATCTTCTTTTTCTTAGATAAGTCCCTTTAACATTTCATATAATGAGGGCTTGGTGATGATGAGCCACTTGCTCAGCTCTCTGCTGACTTTCAGTCACTTTCCCTGCTACTGACAATCAAATTGGGCCCTTTTGGTGCTGATTCCCAGGTGGGTGGGTTTGTGTATGTTCTAGAACTCTGAGGGTCTCTCCAGTGAACTCTCCTATGAGGCTGGGAGTTTCTCTCTCCACCACAACCCCCACAGATTTTTACAGCCAGAGGTTTTTGAGGCTTTTTTCCCCTGCGCTGGAACCCTGGGTAGTGTGGTCTCTCTTGCTCCCCAGTTGTGTCTCCTGGTTTATCCACATGCAAATGTGGGACTGCCTGGTCTTCTGGCCACTGCCCACAAGTCCTCTCCACCCCTGCTGCCTGTCTCCACTCCTACTACTGGTCTGAATGAATATATCTTCTTTAACTCCTTGGTTTTTGGACTTCTATACAGTTCGATTTTCTGGCAGTTCTGGTTATTTTTTGTTTTTAAATTTGTTGTTATCCTTCTTTTGGTTGTGCAAAGAGGCAGAGTGTATCTACCTATGCCTCCATCTTGGCCAGAAGAGATATCTTGAAATAGAACAAAAAAGATTTTTAAAAAACCAAGAGGGAAAATAAAAAAGACATGGAGGACAATCCAGGATACCTGAAATTAGGAGAGTAGGTGTTTCAAAAGGAGGAAAATAGATGGAGGAGTGATGATGATTTGTTGATGTAGAAATGCCCAAACCTGTAGACAATTTTTATAAGAGATTTTTTTTGAGACAAACATATGCTGGGGAGCAAGGTCTCAATTGCTCCAGAGCAGTGATTTTCAACCTTTTTCATCTCATTACATACATAAACTAGTTACTAAAATTCTTTGGCACAACAAAAAAATATATATTTTTGCCTCACTGACAAAAAATAGGTATAATTTTGATTGACTTACAAAAAATAATAATAATTACCTACCTTTTTACTCCCTAATGGCTCTTTTAAAAACGCAGGTGCCTATACTTGTATATAAGGATTTTTTTTTAATTTAAAAGAGAGTTACTGATTTTGGAACTTCAGGTTAAGATGGAGGTGTAGGTAAATGCACCTCGCCTCCGCGCAAAACTATAGCAAAAAATACAGCTCCACTGCAAAACTAGTGTCACCCAGAATTGTCAAAAAATCAAACTGTGTGGAAGTCTGACAACCAAGGATTTAAAGAAGCCACATTCATCCAGACAGGTAGGAGGGGCAGAGATGCAGAGAGGTGCAGAGATGTGGAGGTGTAGAGTGGCACAGAGAGGTACAGAGACAGGAACAGGAGGACCCACATCGAAGTGTGGTAGATAAAAATTGGG